TTAGTTTTATATACTATTCGTTTTTCCATTGTACAAGGAGGATAGATTAATTAAACCTTAGTTAAACTTCTGTTAGCAACTGATCACATGCGCGAACTCGATGTGCAGTAAATATAACCTGAAGATAAGTCTATACTATACGTGTCAGAGCTTCAATCTTTACATCTATTAATTGATTTTTTTCAATTCTCTCGCAAACTATCGATTTGTTTGTCACGACTGTAATTTATAATTAACAAATATGGCAAACGATAGCAGTGCTTCATCAAAACGTGCTCCCAATTTTACAAAAACCGAAGAAGAAATTTTGGTAAGTAACCTGATTTGGTAAATAATTATCAATGAATTGTCGACAATATTAAATTATTGTTATATTAGAATTATTTCTATTGTGTAAATACATTTTTGTGCTTATACATTTTTTAACATAGGTACAATTAGTTAAGAAACATGATAAAGTATTAGAATGTAAGCGGACGGACACAAATTCGAATATATTGAAAGAAGAAACGTGGAAAACTATTTCCAAAGAATTTAATTCAACTACTGGGACGTTTAGAGATTCTCCAACTTTACGCCGCAAATATAAAAATTTAAAAAAGAAAGCAAAGAAGAAATTTGCTGATTTAAAATGCCATGTAAAAGGCACTGGTGGAGGAGAACCTGCAAATATTGTTTTTGATAGTATAGATGAGACCATACAATCTATGTTAGGAACTCAATTAACAGGAATGACATCTCAATTTGATAGTGATGCTACATTGGTGATACAAAATGATGAAAGTACATCTGAAATTTTTAAATGTATGTGTTTCGTCATTTTTATTATTTAATATATTTTTCATTAATTAATTATTTTTTTACGTCATAGTAAACACTAAAGATTTAAAAGTACAAGAAGGGATAAGTGAAAATAATATAAAAATTATTATTGAAGACACCACTTCATTTGACAATGAAAATAGTGTAGACAAGGAGAATATTAATGAAAAGAAAGGTAATATTAAAAATTAAATCTCATGATCTGTAATCATTATTAATTAAATGTACTTAAATTTTATTTATTTTGTATAAAAATTAACTATTGTATAAAAAAATTTAAGATTGGGGAAAATATTGCCCAAATATGTTGAGAACTCAAATCTAAAAAATTAAATGTATTATCTGAAAAAACAGGCGACGCTGAAAAAAAAAGTCAAGGTAATAATAAAGTTACAAAATTTTCAACTCATGAAACATATGTACTTATATATTTATCTCTATATCCTTATACTATTATATTTATTACAGAAACTTTAAAAAGTTTATCTAATAAATGTTTTAAAAAGACATCAGATGATGATACATGGACAAAAGTAGGAAAAGCAAAATTAAATTTAATTGACATTCAAAAACAATGTTTTCTAGAAGAGCATCAACTCAAAATCGAAAAATTAAAAATGGAAAAGGAAATATTACAATACGAACTCGAATATAAGAAAAATATGTTGGAGAAGAAAAATTAATATTATTAATTTTTTTTTTATAAGAAAAAGAAAAAGAAAAATTTTTGTTTTATAAGAAACTATTTACTACTAAAATATTTAATGCGTTAATTTATATAAGTATAATTTTTGTTTTGAAAATTTGTTTTATTATTTATTATTATCAAGGGCATATAAAAAATTTTATTTATGTTAATTATAAATTTTAAAGTCTTGAAAAATATTCATTAATTAAAGAAAGTCTAGTTGAATTATTGATTGTAATTGTGTTTCCATTTATATTATTTGGCATATTATTTACTACATGTATTGCTGCTTCAACTTCTGTATCTGTTAGTGGAATTTCTTCATTTTTTTCACAAGCTATGTTATGAAGAACAGCTGTTGCTACGATCACAGCTTCGACTCGATCTAAATTTAGTCTGATACCTAACGCTAGAATAGGAAATCTTCTTTTCCACACTCCATAGCATCTTTCTACTGGATTTCTGGTGCGAATTTGTGATTCATTAAATAGTTGTTCTTCATTTTTAGCAGGTCTCAATAAAGGTGTTATTAAATAAGTTTTTACGGGATATCCGCTATCACCAACTAAAAGGTTGTCACCAAATTCACCTCGTTCAAAGTGCCCTCTTATGTTATTATTATTAAATATTGTAGAATCGTGTGCTGATCCTGGCCAACGAGCAACAATATCTAATATTTTTAAATCTGGACTACAAATAGTTTGAACGTTTATTGAAAAGAAATTTTTTCTATTTCTGTATGCTTCACTGTTGTTGCCACCTGGAGACTGAATTTTTATGTGAGTGCAATCAAGGGCACCAATGCAACGTGGAAATTTTGCAATATTATAAAATTTTTGGCGAAGTCTTCCAATTTCTTCCTCTGTATTCGGAAATTTTATATATAAAGGGCTAAGCTGAGCAATGGCCCTTGAAACTTTATTAATTACTTTACTTGCTGTACTGTTATGAATACTACTAAAATCACCTATAGTTATCAAGAAGGATCCACTTGCATAAAATCTTAATGTTAATAAAACCATCTCAGATGCAGAAAGAGCCTGATTCCTAGATAAAATTAATAAATTTAATAATTTTATTTAATAAAATTAATAATTTTTTATTATTCATATTATAATTATTAATAGTTAGTAATAATATATGAAATATATTTAATATGATTAAATATATTTCATATATTATTACTTTATTATTACTTTATTATTACTTTTTTTTTTTTTTTATTTATTTTCATTCTTTTTAGAAATAATTTTGATAACCTTAATTTTTAGTTTACATAATATATTGTACAACAATACCTTTCAGTTGGTGATTTGATAGTATCTTCAATTTTTTGTATTATCATATGTACTGTTTCTTTGGATAATCGAAATCTTGTAATAAATTCTTTCTCATCCCAAATTGCGAAATGATTTCGTCTCGGCCTTACAACACGATCTTTTCTTCTAATCTGTCTTATATATCTTAAAATATTCTCATCTTCATCACTCACTTCAAAAAATTCTTCATCAAACATTATGGAAAATGTTTAACACTGTTATATATACACACAGAGATATATAATTTATTAAATCGCTTGTATCTTTTTCGCAGAAATCTTACAACAGACACTAGTTCAATATTTTATTTAATCTGCTTACACACATTTCGCAAATCAGAACAGATTAGAAATTATTACTAAATGAGGATCAGGATTATTTTAATTTCTAAAACATCTTTTATATAATATATGGTATATAATTACAAAAAACGTTTTACGCAAGTTTTAAATCGCACAATCTTTAAATCGAAGTAAGTTATGAAAACTTGGCGTGCCCGGATCGTAATCAAATACAGATTTAATATTTAATTGTATAATATTTATGATTTTACATTTTATTGGGGATATACAATATTTGTTTATAATGTAAACGCTACACAACAACGATGACTCGGACGTAAAAATGAAAGACACTTTCATTATATAAATCATGTCGTAGCTTTCCATTAAGAAAAATTATCATGTAATTGTAAATTATCATGTAATTGTTTTTTATATTCTCATTGAATAATTAACTAACATGCTTGAATAAATAAATTGATAAATAAATTAATGAAATATTAATTTATTAATAAATAAGTAAATATGGATTACTTAGATAACTGAATCAACAACGAATCTTGTCTTAAATTTCTGCGAAGGGTCCCATTCAATTTTTGCCCGGAGGCCCCCAATATTATAGCTACGCCACTGAATAGAGATACTATGCAGCATGTTTCAAGTTTCTTTATAATATTTCACGACTCCTACTCAAACAAGCTACTTCTTTTTAAGTTTAGATTTTATCAACGTATTCTTTTTACTTCCACAGTCAAAAATTCTTCTACAAACCATATGAAAAAGTTGTAAAAGGTGATAAAACTCTATAAACAAATTCAACAATATATAATTTTGAAAAAAGGTATTTTTCGAAAAACATAAAAATTATCCCGGTTTAAAAGTACGCATAAATTTCCAAATAATATTCGCTAATTCGAGAATTCGAATTTAACAGGCATCGAGAATTTTCTCGAGTTTTCGATCCGTCAGAAAAACTCGACCGTTTCCGTAATTTCTCATTTTTTCATCGTAAGAAACGCTTGTCACGCTTTATAATAACATTGTCAATCGTTATTCGAATAGCTGATTGCCAATTAGCTTATTGAAAAATACTACGCACATGAACTAAAAAAATTTCTACGTCAAACCTCATCGGTAGTCAATTATACGCGGCGCCTTGATGTCATCGCTAAACGATCAAATTTATTGGCTTACGTTGCCAAGCGCCCCAGAATCTGCTCGCTATAAAACAGGCACCGCACGTGAGCACTTCGTAGTTCGCACTTAGCAATTCACAGAATTTTCGGCAAGTAAAACCGCTTTTAATAAAACTGCTCTTAGTAAAACCGCTCTTGAAACTGCTCGTTCTTATTAGTAAAGATATATGTCGCAAAGTTACGCCGCTATATTCGTCTTCGGACTTACCTCGACGTCTTCGCCATTTCATTTCCTGAAACTTTGTACATTTTTTGTAAATATAATTTTATTTAATTGTGTGATGTAAAATAAAAAAATCAGAAAAAATACAAAAAAATACGTGTCGTGTAGAGTCTCTGTAGCTATAACAAAATTGTCGTGTTCTATTCTATAACGCTCTCTCAAATTCTCTACTCCGCAAATTCACCGTCGCGGTAATCCGCAGTCGCTCCGTGAACATATATATTTATTTTTTTTTTAATATTTTGATGAAAATGATAAGATAGTAGAAAAATTATGTAAAAGAATATATATGTTCAACTAGAAGAAATTAATAAAAAGACAGATACAATCATTATGAAATTTGATAAAAGAGAAAAGCTAAGGACCGTGGCATAGGTTGTTATTACGTAATTAAAATTAGAACATAAATTTAGGACGGAAAATTTATATATTCTTTAATAATTGATAGCAAAAGAAATAATATTATCCGTCGATAAAATAATACAAATGTCGACATACGTATGTTTCGATCTAATGTGGATGTTTTTCAACGTATTGAAACGGATTGCATTACGTGATTAAAACGCGAACGTTGCAAAGGCGCGTTAAAAAAAGTATGATCACCACGAAGGCCGAGACATTATATTATTGGTCAAGATCATATTCCTTTCTCTTTATACATGGCTTTTTCTTTCGTCTTTGCACTCTTTACGCTTTCACCTCGTTATCAATCAAACCAATTTCTTTCGGCATCTTGGAGGTTTGGATGTTTGAGTGGTTTTCACGTTTTTATCGCATTGGGACTATCATATTCTTATTACAACGACTCTCAACATATGGACAACTTTTTATAATTCGGATTTCTCTTTGTTTTAATAAGGTAAAGTACATCTTTCCTTGATTGCTCGTGTTACTTGGACGATTATGATATCGAGGTGAACGTTGCGCATTTTGCTTGAATATCATCACCATGCGCATACACATACTTTTTATTTATTTTTATTTTATCATATTTTGTACAAGTGCTTTTTATTTTTTAATCGTTATTATTTTTTTGTTGTCTTTGCGTTTTATTAGATAATCGACCGTTTTAATATGTTTGTTTGATCTATTGATTACTTTTTACTGCGCGTACCTCCGCAATGTTCACGTTCTAATTACGTTCACTTATGCGATCCGTTTTAAGACATTGAAAAAGACCCGCATTGGATCGAAACATACGTTTGTCGATATTTTTGTATTTGTATTATTTTTTCGACGGATAATATTCTTTTTTTTACTATCAATTATTAAAGAATATAAATTTTCTGTCCTAAATTTATTTTAATTTTAATTACGTAATAACAACGTATGTCACAGTCCTTAGCCTTTCTCTTTTATCAAATTTGATTGTTATCTTACGGACCATTATTCTCTTTTGTTTTTATCATTATGAATCAAGGGAGATTCAACAGGTCTCTTATTCCAAATGAAAAGAGACCTCAAATACAAATCTCCCACAATTCTTCAAAGCAAATCATTTACATTACTGCATTCTTGTACAATTCTTGGACGCAAATCATTTATATTACTGGTGTTTTATAAATAACGGAGTTTAAGTGCCCCTACAGAAAATCTTTTATAAAATGTTAAAAAATTTATATTTTGGGCTAATTTTACTTGTTTATAATTGAAATATGATTGAATTAAAACAAATGTCTTTTATAATGCAAGAAAAATAAACGTTTTTCTTGCATTATATGTCAGAATAAATTAATATTTCTAAATTTCACTATTCATGTTCCATAGTATTTGGTAAAACTAGATTTATAAAAAATTTATTAGTTGTAAAATTTTGAGTTACCGTATAAGTTAACTCTTGATTATATCTAATTCAATTAAATATTTATAAATATTTTTTCAGTCCTTTTCAATTACATTTACTAATAAAAGATTACAAGATCGACAATTTTTACGAATATTGAATATTGAACACATGAGTAGTGAAATGTAGATAAATTAACTTATTTTAATGTGTATTATACAAGAAAAAAATTTATATTTTCTTACCTCTAATAATACAGCTGCATTGAGAAAGAAGTATTCAATATTGAATCGACTTCGAATCATTCTATATCGATAATTGATCGAAACATTAATCAATTAAAAATCGATGTAAAATTAATTATGAATTAATTTTTTTTATGTTTTCGACGTATCGACACAATCTGTCGAGTCATCAATCGTTACATCAATCTGTCGAGTCATTTCTCGCTGGATCATATATAAAAGTATTTTTCTCCTTATTATTACTCCTTATTAAATTCTTACAGTTTTGCGAGAGAAAGATATCGCTGAGAATTGGAAAACATGACGAATACAAATAACAACTCGTTTTATTATTCTCTGAGCGGTAACAAACAAGAAGATGAGGTAAGAATTTATCTTTCATTCTAATTTTTCTTTTTTTTTAGATATTTCATTTATCTATGATGACTAGAGATTTTGGTGACATAAAAGATTAAGAAAATTATGATTTATTGTAGAAACTGTTAGAACCGATCAGATACAATCTTCAAATTCCTGGAATGCAGATAACGGCAAAATTAATCCAGACTTTTAATTACTGGCTAAAAATATCACCTGACAGAATAAAAGCAATCGAAGAAATAGTAATCATGCTTCACAACTCGAGCATTATGTAAGTTTGCATTTTGCTACATCATAATCTTTCATGTTTTTTTATTCCAATATATATTAAATTCTTATGATTAATATAATTTTCATTAAGAAATATTATTTTTTTGTAATATTTCACACAGCACCAAGTCTAAAAGTACCTACTCTTGAAACTGGATACATTTTTGTCATAGATATCTTTTACTGATATTGTTAAGGCTCCTGACCCTGAATAATCACCGCAGCCATATTGAAATCGTGACGTCAGAAGCGAGAAATAACACGCTGAGAATTCTTGCGTGCCATTTTTAAATAAAAAGATATTTTAAAAAATAACACTACAGATCGCTTTAGCACACTTGTAAAATATTCCGAAAACTAAGTTTTTCCCTTGACGGTTAATTAACTGCCTTAAAATAAGTATCAAAGTAAGCGAGGAAACGCATGGTTTGATAACTGTTGAAAAAAGTGGAAAATGTTTTTTACACTATATATTTCTTATTAAACTTAGTTTTCGGAACATTTTATGGGTTTCACAAACACGTTACACGTCACAGCATTAGGATAAAATGAATGATAATGAAATGGCACGCAAGAATTATTAGTCATGTCATTTAGGCTGTCAAAATGTCATTTTCATTGTCGTTTTGCGTGTGTGGATGACGGATGAGTATGTGTGTAAATGTGTGTTGTACACTGATCGATTTCTTATCAATTAGTAACACACTTCACTTATGTGATAAATCTTATTCTTACCGCGTATTTTTTTTGTCGCTACTGTCAACTCAGAGTTTCACGGTGAGTATTCAAGAGCCATAAGTCGATGGAAAAATGGCTACAAGCTGTTTCATTACTTGAATTGAGTGACATTTTAGTCTTATCCATATGATGACTAAAAGATGACTTCATTCAAGGACATCTATATAGATTATCGATACTCGGTAATAGGAATACCTTAATACAAGAAATAAATGGACTATTTATCATTTATGCATCTAATTTCAAATAATCTTAATATGCTATTTAATATTCTGAATCTCAACAAGGAATATACCTAGTGAAAACAATCTAATCAAAATGATGTCAAAATGTTATCAAATTGATAAAGAATATAATATCAAAAGGAATGATCAAAATAACGGCCAAAAAATGACAATTCGACTACAAAACGTCTCATACTTTGACGATGATTCTAACTGTCATTTTGATATCTGTTTGATGTCAAAGTAAACAAGTGGTGCACGTAACTAATCTCAATCATTACAATAAGCTATTAAATAAAGTACGAAGTATAAAATGCAAAGATATTATACAATTAATAATATTTACTTGTCTTCCATGTTAACGGACTAGCGATTACTGGTTTTACAGTGAAATTTACTGATTTTACAATGAATTTTAATTTAACAATTGTTAAAGTCTGATCACGAAAGTCATGTTATATAAAAAATTTCAACAGATTTTTTTATGGGATCGATGTACTATTATGACATTAATAATAAAATAATCGTCACTTCATGACTAAAAAATGACGTCAAAATAATGTTATATCAAGCCGTCAATATAAAGTCATGTAACAAATCAGTCATTTTGACGACATATGACCAAAAATGACCAGTTTGGAACTTCAAAATGACGTATACTTGCTACCTGAGTAAATTTGATCAAATTATCTTATTATAATATACTCATTTTGATGTCAATATGACATTGAGTTTTTCTCATTAATATTATATATAATAATTAATCACTTAAGGATGCTTTGTATGTACAATCCCAGCAAAAAGTAGCTGAAAATCAATATTGACGAATATATCCACTTTTGGTGTATTTTGAGTATGAGAAATTGCATGGAATATTACAATTTGATCTCAGTTACAGTGCATGTATTTTTTAATATTTATTGCGTTTTTACTGAAATATTCCAAATTTTGTTAATCGAAATGATTAACTTTTGCAAAGAATTTCGCCTTGTCACAGATATATGGCTAATTTCATTGAATTATATTTAATATTTAGTTTTTAATCACTTAGTACTTGTATAATATTATTTGATCAAATATTTCCTTTGTATCTAAACTACTACTTTTCCAAATTTTAAACAAATTCTGAATATTATTCCCATATGTTTTTATCATTTGAATCGACGTGATAATACGACGTGGTTTCCCATAAGAACACATGCTAATTCAGTGCAAATTAAAATCCTTATAACTTGTGAACGTTTTAGTGAATCGATTTAAAAATTGTACTGAAGATTCTAAACACATGTAAGAACATTCTGATTGCCTCGGAGGACTCTTGAAGAGTCGTTCGCTGACCAAATAAGTGTCGGTGGAGGTATTCACGTGCACTACATGCTGGCTTCCGACTGGTCTTTCGTAAGAAATGGCATCGACGAGCACAACATAATTTTTACATTACATTTATTTCTGTATTATTATTTCTATATTATTGTTCTATACTACGTGTATTTTATATTACATTTTTTTATATTACATGGATAAAATTGAATTTATATATCAAACGTGCAATTTTCTATACTGAGAATATTATAATATTCTCAATATTATAATTTGTTTTATTTTTTACAGAATTGATGACATTCAAGATAATTCCATTTTGCGGAAAGGTATTCCTGTCACTCATTCTGTTTTTGGGATTGCTAGCTCACTAAGTGCTGCCATTTATATATTGTTTATTGCTTTGGAACGAGTTATTAATTTACAACATCCTGCAGTAAGTAGCCATATTATACTTACAAAATAAGGTAAAGTATACAGTATTTTAGTCGCATTATCTTTACAAAGCAAAATAACAGATCTTATTCTCTCTTAGTGTTTAATAAATATTGTCAATGTTTAATAAATATTGTCAAAATAGGCAAAATTTAAATACTATCCTTGGATTATATGGCATTTATATATTTAAATAAATCGAAAAAATTGAAGATTATTTTGTTATAGAAAAAATAAAAATTATTGCGAGGACTTGACTGAGAAGACAAACATACATAAATGTTTTATCGTTAAAAAAAAATAAACATTTTATGATATTTTAACATAATTAATATAAAGCACATTAAATGTCGTTAAAATTGTAAATGATAAGCTCTATAATGAATGTTAAATAAAATTGTGTGTTGTATTATTGTATTAACTACGTTTTCCTTTTAGGCACCAAAAGTATGTATAGAACAATTGTTGGAACTTCTAAGAGGTCATGGAATAGAAATTTTTTGGCGGGATAATTTCATTTGTCCAAGTGAGGAAGATTACAAGGCTATGGCAATAAAAAGTAAATATTTATATTTGTGTGTGCATATATATATTTCTTTGAAATAAAAAAATTACGTCTCTTCAGAGGAGTAAAGAGGGTTTTATAGAATTCTCAAAAATGAGAATCTGTATATCTTGGTAAATGCTCCAAGTAAAATATATGCATATGCCTTGTTCTCGTTTAAATTTTCGCATACAATTAAAGAATTTTTATGCATTACCATCCGCTGTGGCTCAGAGATGCTAGTTTTCTTATCTTGTTGTTTAAAAAAATTACATATAAAAAATTATATATATATATATATATATATATATATAAAATATATAATATATAATATATATATTATAATTACATATAAAAAATTATATATATATATATATATATATATATATATATATATATATATATACACCGTGGCCCATTTTAATCGACGCACCTGAATATCTCCGTTGGTAAATCGAATACAAAAAAATTGTTCAGACAAAAGTTGTATGGCTTGAAGGGAGACATAAGATGGTATCATTGGTTTTATCTTAAAAAGTTGTTGGAAGGTCACATGAAGGCCACCTTCAATTTTTTAAATGGAACTCCCTATTTTTTATTACTTATTCTTGTAGCTTATCTCGAGAGCTTTTCAAAACACTATAATGAAGAAAACACATAATTATTTCGAAGAAAAAATATGTAATTTGCAATTAACAATTCCATATTTTTTCTTAAAAACAACTGTGTTTTTCCTTTACACCAATTGATTCCTCTCATTATTTTGTACATAAAAGTATTAAGGTAGGATAATCGAAAAATGAATATTTTATTAGATATTTTATGGTTTATGTAAAATTAAGAAATTATTTCAAGCCTCATAACTCGAAAAGTACTCAATGAAGAAATACTTTATTATAGTGTTTTGAAAAGCTCTCGAGATAAGCTACAAGAATAAGTAATAAAAAATAGGGAGTTCCATTAAAAGAATTGAAGGTGGCCTTCATGTGATCTTCAAACAACTTTTCCAGATAAAACCAATGATACCATCTTATGTTCCCCTTCAAGCCATACAACTTTTGTCTGAAAAATTTTTTTGTATTCGGCTTACCAACGGAGATATTCAGGTGCGTCGAATAAAATGGGCCACGGTGTATATATATATATATATATATATATATATATATATATATATATATACGTATACAGCAAACTTTAAGTTATACATGTTATATAACTGTAACAATTATATTATAGAGTGGGAAATTATAACTAATAATTATATTACTGTTACATAGTGTTTACTGGGTGTACATATATACACATAATTGAAATATCTATTAATTTTACAGAGATTGGTTGTCTCTTTAACTTGCCAATAAGGTTAATGGATTTGTTTTCAACTTACGAGGAAGATTTATCGCCGCTATTAGCTCTTTTGAGTTTATACTATCAAATACGTGACGATTATTGTAATTTATGCCTCAGTGATGTGAGTAATAATATATATATTTGCAACATTATACGTACGTAAATAAACTGAAAAAATTGAATTATCAATGTATTTTTTGTTATAGTATACCGAAAGTAGTTACTGTGATGATTTGACTGAAGGAAAATTCAGCTTTCCAATTATTCATGCGCTTAAAACCAATCCTGATGATAAGCAAATAATGAGTATCCTTTATTATATATTATTTGTTTATATTTTTTTTAATTAACACACTAGTAACACATTTACTAAAGAAATGTAAGCAGCCCTACATTTCTCATCATATACATACACATATACAATTTTTAGATACTTCATAATTTTATTTATAATTTTATTATATATATGTTTCCTTAATAATGCCTGATAAAGATATTCTGAAACAACGAACGAAAGATATCGAAGTGAAACGTCATTGCGTTAAATTATTAGAGAAATTTGGCTCTCTCAAGTATACAAGAAGCGTACTTGAAGAATTGGACATGAAAGCAAGAGCTGAGATTGATCGCTTAGGAGGCAATCCGTTCCTAATAAAAATTCTAGATGAGTTGAAGAATTGGGATAGCAAATAAGCGTCCCAAGATCCCTTAACACGGACATTTTTATAAGAAACAAAGTATACCCATACAGAGAATAATTGATATTAGATCCATTGAATATTCTTTATAGACATTAAGGATATCCACGAGCATATGAGAATCAGTTATTAGAAATAGCTATAGATATCCAAATATTCGTGTTTCATAAATATCCACAAGATGTATAAGCTATTATCCACAAAATATTCATACAACATCCAGTGGATACTTATGTGTATGTATATATATATATATATATATATATATATATATATTAATATCAATATAAATATCAATATATGTAATATATGTAATATATATATATATATATATATATATATATATTAAATATATTACATATATTAATATTTATTAAATTTTTGCATGGATATCCATGTTTTATATATAACAGAATTCGTCTGCGATTTCGTGATCGTCTGCGATTAATTTTTGGAGTTCTGAAGCTCCTCATAAAAGATAGAAAAGATGCGAATATAATAATCTTCGAGCTAGTGCGCTCTTTGATAAGCCGTGATTTGCGGGTCTTATACATGCGCGGCGTTATATACTGTCTTAATTGGATTCCACTCTCGAGTTAGGTGCTCCCGTTTTCACCACCTAGTGACAAAACACGGTATGGATGTATATAAATATCCAGTATATCTTTAGTAGTTGGTGAATATGCACGCAAAACAATTGGACCATTAAATTTTAGCATTTTTTTATAAAAGAAGATCGCAGAAAATTGATTAAAATATGAATTTGTTAGGATATAAATGAGCTTAAAAACTCATACATTTTTGTACCAAGAAACTGATACAACTAAGAAATGCAACTGTTTTAAAAAAATTTGTTTCCTATTTCTCAAAGTCTATCTTCAACGCCATTTTGTAAAACATTTTTTGTAAGTCAAATTTATTTTATTTTTGTTTTTAAGAGAAATGTTCAAGCTTTAATTTGATGTGTTGTTTCATTTGAATTGTTTCATCTCAGTATGATGATTTTTCACTGATTTATTTCTAATGAAATATGTTAAAAAATTGTGCTAAAATTTAGTGGGCCGTTTTTCTTGCATGTAAATATAGATATGAAAATAATATCGTGTATATCTAGTGGATATCTTTGATAGTTACTTAATGGATATGTACATGATATATATACAGGGTGTCTGCTAAACATGCGGCAAAAATTCAGGGGGTGATTTATTGGGTTATTTTAAGACTTTTTTGTTATCTGATGATTTTCGAAAAAATGCTTTGTTTCGAAAATAAAAGCAATAAAAGTTTTTTTACCAATTTTTTATTCCAAAGATAACACGCGGTACAGGTTTTTTAACAAAATTATTGAAAATTACAAGAAAAAAAAAAAAATTGGTCAAAAAACTTTTATTGCTTTTATTTTCGAAATAAAGCATTTTTTCGAAAAATTGGTCAAAAAACTTTTATTGCTTTTATTTTCGAAACAAAGCATTTTTTCGAAAATCATCAGATAACAAAAAAGTCTTAAAATAACCCAATAAATCACCCCCTGAATTTTTGCCGCATGTTTAGCAGACACCCTGTATATATACATATATAGATCTACTAGTTATCTATAGCAGACATAGATTTTATATAGCCATTTAAATATCTATTAGATCCAATTTTTTCTATGTGGGTATTAAATTTATGTATTTGTTTATCATATAAAGTGTCTTCCTAAGTGCGCTGAAAAAACTGACAGTACTGTTTTCGCATTCTAAAATTGTTTTCAGCATGCTGCAAGAGAATAACAATTATTACCATTTTAATGAAAATAGATCCTAAGGAGGTGCTAACGTCTGACTGATTCTGCACATATTCTCGAGGTAATACAAATTCAGTAATACGTATGGCGACTGGTCGTTTCTAAATTTTTCGTAACGTTTGAAAAAAAAAGGAATATCATTAATAAATCTATAATTTTATATCATTAATAAATATATCATTTTATACGTCATTATATATTTTTACGTTATTTTTTTATATTAGTTAAAATGGTTAATTTTTCTATTTTAATACTTTTCGCTCCTTTTTGTTGCTATAAAATTTATTACGCGTTATCAAGATTTATCTCTCTCTCCCTCTCTCGCGCCTCTCTCGATCCATCTATTTATTCCTTTATCCATGTTATCTACAATACTACACCTGTATTCCGATTTTCATTGCTACCACAGTCTACAGACAATTTCGGAACTGTTGATTGCAGTAGCAGTATTCTGTACTGTCAGTATATTTTCGGCGCATTTCGAAAAACACCCAATGTGACAAGTTCCCACTATTACTCAAAGTTATCTGTTATTGATAGCGAAATAGAATAAGGGATTGGGTGAAAAAAATAATATGTGATATATGATACTAATGTGAAACACTGATATATGAAATAAAAACAAAATAATATATGAAAAAAATAATATGACAAAAAGCCTTATAAAAAAGGTCGTCATATCCATTTAATTTTCAATAAAGAAATATATTTCTTAGCAATGGGTGAACATGTTTTCTGATAATTTCACTTATATATAATATATAACATTATTAAAAATTACAAAAATATTTTGGATACGTGAATTTGTACATGTATTTTATTATACATATATATAAATGGTATATGCCTAAAAATATATATGGTATATACCTAAAAATGGTATATACCTAAAAATTATAATATTTCAAAATGTCAATGGATGTCCAATACCTGCAAATAGTTTCTTAGAAGAAATTAAAAATTAATGTTAATATCCGCACCTAGAAATAATTTTTTAAAAAAGACAAATTATATTAATTAAAAATATATTCATTCGTAATCATTTTTATCAAAAAATTTATACAAATTAATTACAATATGAAATTACTTGAAAAATTAAAATTTATACACAACTCTATATCCATATTTAATCTACTATTAAATCTTTCTGGCATTATATATATAGACAATAATAATATCAATCCTAATAATGATAGAACATTTTTAACGAAGAAAAGAAAAGATACATTTCCCTCATCTAAATATATATTATTTAAATTAATTCGACGTTAAAAAAGTCATTGAATCATTGAATCATTGAATCATTGAATGAAATCATTGAATTACTACCAACATTGCTTTCGGAAATTGGCAGGAAAACTGGGATTAGTTCCTTCAATCTTACAATAAAGATTCCCAATTTTCAACAGTACACTGAACTAGACGTCGCGAATGGATCTCATAAGAACCGATGAGAAATAATTCTCCATGATGAAAATCATTTTGACTCCTCGGCGGTACGAGCGCAACTTTCATTAACGCTTATTTAACGGAAGACACAATGATAACTCTTTCATTAAAACGACAATCTCGTCTAGGAACGCGAAAAGGAACGCGAGAAAAGTACGGTGTTTTCGCAACGGTAATTTATTAATTTATCTATGAATATTTTCCGATACGAAAAAAAAATTCGTAAATACAAATATATAACTGAAAAAACAAATTATTAAATTCATAATAATTAACTCGCGATTTTATAATATCGAAGATAAACGTCAAATTTTGTGAAGCTAATATTTAATCTTTGACTTATTACATCGAATCTTCACTCTCTTATTCGACATTTCTTTATATTTAATTAGCAATATTTAGGAATATTATCTGACGAGAGGGACAGCGATAAAATTCTTTTGTTAAAATAATAATCTTTTGTTAAAATAATAATATTGTATAAGGACACGAAGAGAACGCGGAAAAAACACGGTATTCTCGCAATCATAATTTAATAATTTATTTTAAGAATATTTAGTTCCGCGCGATATAAAATTCATAAATAAATAAAGCTAACGGAAAGCAGTATTATTAATGGGTCTATTCTGTAAAAATGCTCTATAACGCTGTATCTCTATAAGCTATGTAGCACTATAGAGTAAAACAGAAAGAGCGAAGAGAGAAAAAAAGAAAGAGCTAAAGAGCTACAGAGTTACAGAGCTTACAGAGCTTACAGAGCAAAAATTCTTACCGAATACACGACTAAATTTATAATAATTGACTCGCGATTCTGTAATAAAGGCGTCCGTCAAATTTTATAATGCTTATATTTAATCATTAATTTAGCATCGAATTTTTACATTTTATATAAAAATTTTCCGAATTTATTAATGACTCTTTCATATAAAAACACAAACAGTTACTCTTTTATAAATATTCCAAACATATATACTTCAGAAACAAATACTTTAATTTAATGAATTAATAACTATTATGTTAATTACTATTAAGTAATCATTATACGTACACTTTCGATCATTTTTCGTGTAATTTACGTAAGAATTTACAATCGTAAATACAATTTTATATAATATAATTATAGTCATAATTGTATTGTATTTTACAATTAAAATATCAATGTTAGATTATAATTAAAATACAATTATAACTATTTATAATTTACAATTTATAAATTTATGATGCTATAAATATCAAATAATAATATTCCATTTATTCAAATATTTAATAATATCGATATAATAATTTGATACTGATAGCATTTGGATTTAATATTATATTTGATTTAATACACATATAGTTTTAAGTTTTAAAATAAAATATAACGTGTTATGTTATGTTATTTCTTAAACGTTAATAATTATGCAATTTCTTCAATATTTCTGAAGATAATTTTGATAATTTAAACTTCACTTTTAAAACATTTTTATTTTTAAAACATGTTATATTTATTTTTACAACGTTTTTAAAAATAAATTCAACTTAATTAAAATAATTTTAATTAGGATTATTGGAATATTAAAAGAAAGAATGCGTCTTACTTAATAGCCCTAACAATCCTACTATTACAGAATTCTAATGATCTTAAGAGCCCTATCAACCCTAATATCAATAGAAAAATTCTAATGATTTTACTTAATAGCCTTAACAACCCTACTTCATGATTAATTAAAATTATTCGAGATTTGAGGAACCTATCTCTAATCATCACCTCACCTAATCATGTATATATATTTTAGTCACGTGCCCTAACCGCCGTGCCCTAATTGCATACTCTAACCGTACTCTTCAGGCCAGTTGAACCTACTTTCGGTGATTCTGGCCACTTTCTTTCTCGATCTCTAATCAGAGATCGAAGAAGAAGATAATTACTTACTTCTTCTTTTGCCGGATAATTACCGGCAAAAGAGCGTGAAATATTTACGCTCATTTAGTAACGATCGTTCGATTTCACAATCGTTCGTTAAATATTGAATATAACTTTATTTTAACTGAAATAAAGCCAAATTACTACAAATTTCTATAAATTATATTTTATAATAAAATATAAAATTAATGTGTGTATTTATCGTATTATAAATTATTTAATTAATTAATCATTTGGTTTTATATTAAGTTAAAGTAAAGTTTAAAAATATCTACAAACAAATTCTACGATTGATGAGCTATGAGCAATTAGAAGATAAGTGCGTATTATAAGAATAAATTAGCATCAAAAGATAAAATTGATAAATGTTAATGCGTGTCCTTTATTTAATAAATTAGACAAAGTCTTTACAACAAAATCTTTTCTTGATCTCTTCTTTTTTTAAATTAATATTTCAATAAATTTTCACAATAGATGCAAAGCAAATGTTTGAAAGAACTTATTAAAATTAAAGGATCATTGAAAAAAGTGTAGTCGACCAAACTAGCCAGAAAATTTGTTTATTAACGTTTCTTGACGAAGTCTCACACGGACACAATTTGTCTCTCGAGTTCAAATCTAGTTAAATAAGGTTTTTGTTAATGTGACTTGTGCAGTTTACAAGATTATCGTCTATGCCTGTCTTCTGATTATTATTACATCGGTATTAAAATTGTTCACACTCACATTGTTTAATTCGTGAGCGTACTATGTATTCAAACCGTTAATTAATTAATTAATTTATAAATCTTTTCCAATATATACTTGATAAGGACCACAACCATATGGTCAAAAACGTCGTATTAATAAACAAATTTTCTGTTATCTTAAAGTTAGTTAGATATGCATTTTAAGATCTATCGTCGCGACACAATTTTGCATATTATTTAGCATGTATAAAATTAAGTAATAATCATATCAAATTATTTCTTAATATACTTCTCAAATCAATTGCATTTAGAAAAGGAATCTGATGAAGTTCCTCGCATCACTATTTTGTTCGAATTTATTTCGCGAATGATAATATAACTAAAAAAGTAAATATTAATGCGTTACATGTTATGAAGATGGGACGCGGTATTATTATTAATTTGTTGCAAAAATATTTTATATATAGTATATACATATACGCGCGAAATATTAAATTAATTTAGAGAATTATTTTAAATTATTGATTAATTTACTATAAATTAATTAATTATTGATTAATTTACTATTAATTTACTATACGATTGATGTATCACGAATCTTTATATTAATCTCGACTTTGCGATTTGACTGTCAAACTGAAAACAATAATGAAATAAGCATATTTAGTCAAGTTAATATTTTTTTTGGTATAATATCTACATATGTTATGATTACTATATAAATAAGACATATAAATAATTTTCTTTTTTTAAGAAAGAGAGAGAGAGAAAAGGAAAATAACTCGCAATAATATTAATTACAATTTCGAGAACTTCCTCTGATTTGTTATAAATGTAAACGCCAAGTACAAATTAAGCATGCAAACAAACAGTACTTTTACAGATCCCTTTTATATAAAGCAAAACGTCCAAAATAAATGATTTTGAGAAACTAATTATTATGCCTTATTTATATTTTTATTTGTTCGTTGAACAGGTATTTAATATCATCAATTGCACAATTATCGAAAAAATTGTTCTTGAGTATAACTTTTAAAAAGTGTAATAAATAAAAAATCTAATTCTTATGTATAAAATATCTAAATAAATATATTACAAAAAATATTTTATAACATATCTATTAAAGGTTTATATTATTATAATTAAATATTAATATATTATAATGTATCTCTATATTAAATGTTAATATATCCATAGTTTTCATGTTATCTCGTATAAAAATATTTTATTTTATTTTATAATTTTAAATATTTGAAATTAAAATGTGGAATGTATGTTGTATATATATATATATATATATATATATATATATATATATATATATATATATACGTTATATTGCATAATAATTTAGAATGAATCACTATCCAGACAATGAAAAAAGAACAAACAATATTTATTATGTGTGAAAATAATAAAATTACTTATCGCATATGTGTGTGTGTGTATGTGTGTGTTTCGTACGTTGACCAATGCTTTTCCAGATCTTTTTTTTTCTCCCTTGTATATATTATTCTTCACTATTTTCTGGTGGCATTCATCCGCGTAAATACAATTAATTACCATTAGTAAAATACGATTAATTACCATAGTCTAATCCGTGGGACATTTTGCATGCTATTCTCGATCGCGGAATAATCATATAAAATTCGCACTTTGTTATACTATAAGAGCAACATTTATACGAGATTAAAATTAATAATATAGCAGAGTGAATAGTACTGTTGATGTATGTATATATAGTATATTATACGTAAAATATAAATCTCGTAAGATCAAAAATTAAAGTAATGAAAAATCGTGATATAACAATTGTTTAATTAATAATTAATTTATACTTGCTTTTTAGAAAAATTTAATCAAAAGATACTTGTTAATTATAATAATTATAACAAATTATGTTACAATATTAGTTACGATCAGGTTGGAAAAAGAATTTGATAATATACGAAACATTTCGCACACTACTACATTATTATTCGAGTGTCACCGTGCAAATGATGACAAAGTTGTGACACGTATGCCAAGGCCAAACATAATATTATTGATAATTCTCTGCCGAAATATTTTACGTACTACATATATACACGCGGAATTTTAAATTATAGAGATATATTTTATTTTAAATTAATTATTAAACGATTGATGTATCACGGAACCTTGTGTTATGCTAATGATTTGAATTTATTCGATTGTTTTGCCGCTTTTCCGAAGTCAAATTTTATAATATTTAGTTTTACATTGTAAAAGACTGACTTAGAGCGAGCTAAATAAATAAATGATGTTGAGAAAAAGAAGACACATAAATAAATAAAATTGTAATTATAAATAAATAAATAAATAAGTAGAATTATAATAAATAATAGCGTGTAAAGAAAGAACATACTAAATATTTTTATATAATAAATTATTATTAATTAAATTATTTATATTTTTATTTATTTATAATTATAATATATTTATAATTTGTTATTAATATATTTATAATACATATATTTATAATTTATTTATAATTATTTATATTTTATTATTTATATTATCAGAGAGACATATATACTTGAATGGAAAAGAGAAATCGCGCTAACGAAGTATATTATTAATTACGTCTATATGCGAGACTATATTTCTGGTCTATAAATTGTGGATGTAGCACAGACATGAACCAAAATCGACTGTTTTATCGGCACCTAAAAGTGGATGTGGCCATGTAGTTCCAGGCGGCGTAAAATGAATGTACGCACCGCTAGTGCACGACATAGGGAAGGCGTTACCTGAAAAAGTGGCCCCTCTTAGGTTTTTCTCTGGTTCTAAATATATCAAATAAGAAATATAAAGAAAAATGTCAGAATAACTAAAAAGATTTATGAAACGTAAGCAGAAGTGGATAATTTCTCTTCCACGTGAGTTTAAGTATATCTGAAAAATATTCAATATACTCAAAAATATTAATTTCAAGAAACACAATTTTTTTAAACAATTCGTGAAATATTAAAGATTCGTATGAATCGCAATATTTTTTAAGTCGTCTATTATTTTACAATGCTTTATAGTATTATTTTTACTTATTTAATATATCAATATTTATGCTTCTAATTATTATAAACGAGTGATGATTGTTTTCAATATTTTTTATTTTATGTATATATATTTACAGATTTTATCTTTTCAGATATTAATCATGTATGATGTCACCGAGGCAATTGTAGCACAAGCTACAGATCCAAAAATTGCTTTCATAGCTGCAACTGTTTTTGGTTATTGTTTGTACAGAATTATGAGGATGACAAAAGGAAGAAGTCATCAATTTTCTGAAGACTCTGATGAAATGGATAATAATATGGTAAAAATATCAATTCATTTTGTTTTCAATTATTTAACAAAAATTCACTCAATTACTAATAATATTTAAAATTGTGTATTTTTTTGTACATAGATATATACAGACAAGTACGATAATTACAAGTTGATTCTAGTAATCAGAACAGATTTGAAAATGGGCAAGGGAAAAGTGGCAGCGCAATGTTCTCATGCTGCTGTTGCGGCATACAAGGCTGCCAGAAAGCATCCAAAAATTTTGAAAGCCTGGGAAGAGTCTGGTCAAGCTAAGATTACCCTTAAGGTATCATATCTAAATTGACAATGGATAATTGATACACAGAGAGAAGGAATATATTTTTGCAAAACATAAGAAATTTGTTCTATCAATTCGCTATATTAAATTCAATATATATTATTTTAAATTGAATATAGAGAGCCACAATACAAGTCCTATAGATTAGGTTTCGATTAAAAAAAAAAGAGTATCACTTGACATTTAATAAATATATTTAAATATACACAATTGAAATAAATATATTTTCACACACACCTTTCATACACACGTATGAAAAAAGAGATGCTAATACTAATTTTCAGGTGGATAGTGAAGCCGCCCTTGTAGAAATAGCGAAGCAAGCTAAAGCTGTAGGTCTATTATCAAACATTGTACACGATGCAGGACATACGCAGATACCAGCAGGAAGTAAAACTGTTTGCGGGGTCGGACCTGGTCCAGCAAAATTGATAGATCAAGTAACTGGACATTTAAAGTTGTTTTAAATACTTATCAAATAAAAATCGTAATCTTTTTATTACATATTTTATGATTTTGTCATTTATTTTTAATAATATCATCGCATTACCTATTATTAAAGTTATCAGTCTGTCGTTAAATTTTTCCAATTGCTATATATATGCAGAAAAATCGTAATATGGAGAAACGTTAAAGAAACTCGTAAGAAATTCGTAAAAGAAACGTTAATATCTCAAATTTTTAATATTCAAATTTTTAATATTCACATATATACAGGGTGTCCCAAAAGTCTCGGACCGGTCGAATATTTCATAAATTATGCACTTTAGAAAGAAATGTTTCAGACAAAAGTTATGGCTTGAAGGGGGCCATCAGATAGTGGCAATCATTTGATCTTGGAGAGTCATTTGAAGGTAATGTAAAGGTCACTTTCAATTTCTTAAATAGAACCCTCTATTTTTTATTACATATTCGTGTAGCTTATCTACACGAAATCTATACAAAATAATGAGAGGAATCAATTAGTGTAAAGAAAACACATAGTTGTTTTTTAAAAAAATATGTAATTGTTAATTGCAAATTACATATTTTTTTCTTAAAAACAACTTTTCTTTTTCTTTACACCAATTGATTCCTCTCATTATTTTATACATAAAAGTATTAAGGTAAGATAATCGAAAAATGAATATTTTACTAGATATTTTATGGTTTATGTAAAATTAAGAAATGATTTCAAGCCTCATATCTCGAAAAGTACTCAATGAAGAAATACTTTATTATTGTGTTTTGGAAAGCTCTCGAGATAAGCTACACGAATATGTAATAAAAAATAGGGAGTTCCATTTAAAAAATTGACGGTGATCTTCACGTGACTTTCAAATGACTCTCCCATGTCAAATCATTACCACTATCTGACTGGCTCCCTTCAAGCCATACAACTTTTGTCTAAAACATTTTTTTCTAAAGTGTATAGTTTATGAAATATTCGACCGGTCTGGGACTTTTGGGACACCCTGTATATGAAGCAAATTAATATTACATGATTTTTATCTCTTGCTTTGCAAGAAATAGAATTTCAAATTAATATTCTCTTGAATAAGATATTCCAAAATATATTTTCCTCTTGATGACCTTTAATAAAAAAAGTTCTTGTACCTTAAATTTCTCTCTAAGATTAATATAGTACATGTGTATATTTCAAGATACAAATATAGATAAATTATTGTTGTAAGTACATAGGATATCGATCTAAGTTGACTATCGCGATCAATTACGATACATAATATTGTAAGAAACACAATAATCACATTAGAGTTTGGATGCTGGTGCAGCTAGAGCCATTATAGACCGTATCGATCACATATGTTGAAAACAAATATGTAATTGTAAGTGGATTCTTTCAACTGATCAACATACAAGCTCCATATACGATCATCTTTTGTCCTAAATAATAATTCAAAACGTTAATACTTATAAACGGATGGACGGATTACAATTAAAATTATACTTGAGCATATATTATCGCTTATCAGCGAAATTAATTCGTACGTGCTAGATATTTTAGATCATATTATTCCGCGAGGTTCAACATGTACGAAAAGCAGAAATGCATCTAACGTATATTAAGGCATTTATGAGATGGCCAGTGTATTTTTCTACAAAGTGTTTTTGAATATGAAGAAATGGCAAATGCAAGATAATACGCTTCTCGTCGATCGTTCACTGCCACCGGCAGCAATTGATTTTCCGACGCGTGCGTGTGTCTCCTCTTCTTTGGTACCCAGTACTATAATCTTTCTGCAACAATTACGTTTTAATTCTTCTTTTTATAAATATAAATAATCTATACCGGTGGCGCGGGAGCCTTCCGAGGTATTTTATTCGAGCTGGCAGCGCTGCATTGCGACTCGGCAATAGATCTACCGTCTGCCTCATCCCTCCGACAAAGCTCCGGCTCATTCTGGATCCAGTTCTGCGTCTGATTATGGCCCATCGCTTTCGCAACGGATTGCGACTCCTCATTCTCAGTGGGCACGGTGCCTACCTCCTCCAGCAACTTGGACAAGGACGGTGCCAGACCTAATCCCAGATTTCGCTCGTGATACACCTCGGAGATCGTGGGCGTGAGTTCGCGCGTCAGACTCGTCAGGGAGGTAGCCAGGTTCCGCAAATTTTGAGGATGCGTCTCCGTAGACTGCGTTGCATCAGTCTGCGGGTTGCAGATATCCTCGCTGGAGTGCCGTGGCTTCCGTGATGTATTCGATGCCCCGACTTCCGTTCTCACACTCAATCTTTCTAGCATCGTGGCTGGCAGCGGCGGCAACGGCTGACGTCTCAATACAGTGGCGTGGCCGTTGTCCCAATCTGTCACCGAACTGCTCGAACTCGAGCCGGGTCTTACTGGATTCTGATCGGTATAAAGATTCCGGATTCTCGTTTGATGAGTCAAGTTGAGCGCCACGGGAGGACTTGGTGTGAATGCTACGTCTGATTCGCCTAGAACGCATCAACACATTCAGAAAAATTCAATATTGTTTGATTAATTTTTATGTAAGATTAATTATTATGTTCTTCTCTGGTTAAATAGCTTTTTTTTAATATCTAATCGAACAAATAGAAAGTTGACTTGCATGTACTCTCTTTTATAACATGAAATATTTATACAGGGTGTTTCAGATCACCCGTACTACCCATTTAAAAACTAGAGAAGTGATTATTTCAAAAAAGTAAAAACATTTTCTTTATAAATCGGGTGCGCTCTATCGATGGTGATATTTTCAACTTTTGGTTCCGGCCGAAAATTGGCGATTCAGATCGGAAGTGCATTTTTTTAAACGGAACCCCTTATTTTTCATTGCATATTTTTGTAGCTTACCTCGAGAGCTTTCCAAAACTCTATAATAAATTATTTTTCCATGAAGTATTTTTCGAGTTACAAGGCTTGAAATCATTTCTTAATTTTACATAAACTATCTTGTAAAATATTTATTTTTTGATTATCTTACCTTCATACTTTTATGTACAAAATAATGAGAGGAATCAATTGGTGTAAAGAAAACATGCAGTTGTTTTTAAGAAAAAATATGGAATTGTTAATTGCAAATTACATATTTTTTCTTAGAAACAACTGTATGTTTTCTTTATACCAATTGATTCCTCTCATTGTTTTGTACATAAAAGTATTAAGGTAAGATAATCGAAAAATGAATATTTTACAAGGTATTTTATGTAAAATTCAGACATCGAAAAGTACTTTATAAAAAAAATACTTTATTATAATGTTTTGGAAAGCTCTCGAGGTAAGCTACAAAAATATGCAATGAAAAATAAGGGGTTCCGTTTAAAAAAATGCACTTCCGATCTGAATCGCCAATTTCCGGCCGGAACCAAAAGTTGAAAAATATCACCATTCGATAGAGCTCACCCAATTTATAAAGAAAAAGATTTTACTTTTTTGAAATAACCACTTCTCTAGTTTTTAAATGGGTGATACGGGTGGTCTGAAACACCCTGTACATACCTCCACCATTTGGACACGATTGTCGCGACGGTGGTATCAGAACATTCGGGGGTTCCATGGTTTTTCCATCTGGTTCGCCACGATGTCGTACGTAACTTGTGAATGCTCCTCCTAGTCGAGGTCGTTCGAGGTTTTTCTCGGTGCTATGGGCTACGGAAGCTAAACTTTCCATTGAACTGCTCGAATCTAAGCTAAGACTTTTCGGTGCTTCCTGGGTATCTATAACACAATATATGGATATTATTGATTTATAATAATTCATCATTTATAATAATTATTATGATTTATAATAATTTATAATTTATAATTTATAATTAAAATTTTAATAATTTTTAATTAAATTAAAATTATTAATAATAATTTATAATTTTATATAATTGAAATTATAATTTTTTGTACTACTCGACACTATCGTTTACTTTTGTTAATTAATTGAAAAAATTTTTTTCACTGAAGAGAACCCGATGTGGGTAGAAACGTTTGCCAATAAAATTTGCACCTGATACATATGTTATTTTTATGTTATTTTTATAGTGTTTTCCATCTTTGCTAAAATAATATATGGGTGCTGTTATTTGAGTTTGTCGCCACAAGATACGCGATCTTGATTCATTGACCCAGAATTTCTTTTGATTATTATTTGAAATTATAATAATTTTTAATTGTTAATAATTTAAAATTTTTAATTTTTAATAATTTAAAATTTTTAATTAAATTGAAATTATAATAATTTATAATTTATAACTGAAATTTTTTCTATTGTAAATGCAAAAGTGTTGCATTATAAACGTGTTAAATTTCTTTACTTATGCGCTATTGATATATAGCATTGATATAAATGTTTTAATTTACCGAACAATGCAAGGAGAGCTTGTAGAGCAAACTGAACGGCTCTGCGCGAGGCTTGTTTGCCTGTTCTTAATGTCACTTCTGATTGTCCAACTTCCATTAAATCGAAGCCTAAGCTAGCAAACAATTCATGCGATCCCGATGCTCTCCAAACGTATACAGGCAAAATAACTTCTTGTCCTTCTGTAGCACAACTAGCTCTTCTCATGGCAGCAATAACATCTTCTGCAGCTTCAGGTGCCTACAAATTTTTAACAATTGGAATCATTGAAAAATTAAAATAATTTTAATAATAAAATTTTAATAAAATAATTTTTCTTAATAAAATTTTAATAAAATAATTTTTTTAACATGATTCAAGTAACCCAGCACCTGTAAGAGCCTGGCTAAAGCATGCAACGACGATTGACCCAATCCCAATAGAGCTTGCAAGCTGGCGCTGCATCTCGTCAGTCTTTCCTCGGGATCACTTTGCGGGAAGAATACAGAGGACGGTATTCCGTTGCCAGCCGGCTCGAATCTAAACCCTACGGACATCAGTAATTCTCGCCAACCGGTAGCCGCGCCTACTTTATTCTCAATACTGCGCTGAGTCGTATACATTGCGTTCTTCTGTCCACGATGAATTCTCTGCAGCGATTTCTCCACCAGATGAAGTGTCACTCGCAGCGCATCTCTACTATGTTCGGGACCACCGCGCAGCAATTCTGCTAATGCCTGGCCCATAAGTGCGACCTGACGAAAGAAAAAAAAAAGATGAAGCCGTCAAATGTGGCCATTGAAGCCATTGAAATAAAAAAAAACATCCTAGTCCAAACATAAATATATTGTTAAATCAGACTTATTGTACCTTGTTGGATAATCTCGCGTCTCCGCCGATGAGTAGCCAACCGGCCCAGTTAGCGGGATGAGCGAAATGTCTAGTGTGCTGGACAGTCTGCATTGCCTCGGCCAATGCACGCGATGCTCTCGCGCCTTGCAGCATCGCGCTATAGAAAGCTCGCAGAAGGATACTGCCGGCAGTTGGCGGTACCGCCCACATTCCTATCAGCACGCATTGCGCACCAGCGTTTAACAGAGTCTTGGCGAGATTTTGTATACCATCTGATGTAGCGTTCGTGGACTCTACGTTATTCCAACCGTGACCTCTGGACACGACCACTAGACGAGCGGACATTTTCAATCTGTGTAAATCTGCCTGACTTATAAGATATTCCGGTCTCTCAGATGGCTCTTCGCACTGATCGGGTGAAAACGCCAAACTGCCGGTGTTCCAAAAGACCGGTACTGTCAAATGAACGCACTCCGCATCCGGTAGAGACCGCAGCACCGCCGACTTGGTAGCTTCGAGTCCTATTGTAAACAACAAAAATGAAAAAAATTTTTTTATTAAGTTTTTGTAAAATTAGAAAACTCTGTGGATATACAGGTGTTTCAGACCACCCATTTAAACACCACCCATTTAAAAAATAGAGAAGTGATTATTTCAAAAAAGTAAAAACATTTTTATAAATCGAATTCGCTCTATCGAATGATGATATTTTCAACTTCTCGTTTTTCAACTTCTCGGCCGGAAATAGGCAATTCAGACCGGAAGTGCATTTTTTAAATGGAACCCCCTATTTTTCATTGCATATTCTTGTAGCTTACCTCGAGAGCTTTCCAAAACACTATAATAAATTATTTTTCCATGAAGTACTTTTTGAGTTGTGAGGCTTAAAATCATTTCTTAATTTTACATAAACCATAAAATATCTTGTAGAATATTCATTTTTCGATTATCTTACCTTAATACTTTTATGTACAAAATAATGAGAGGAATCAATTGATGTAAAGAAAACACATAGTTGTTTCTGAGAAAAAATATGTAATTTGCAATTAACAATTCCATATTTTTTCTTAAAAACAATTGTATGTTTTCTTTACACCAATTGATTCCTCTCATTATTTTGTACATAAAAGTATTAAGGTTAGATAATCGAAAAATGAATATTTTACAAGACAATATTTTATGGTTTATGTAAAATTAAGAAATCATTTCAAGCTTCATAACTCGAAAAGTACTTTATAAAAAAAATAATTTATCATAGTGTTTTGGAAAGCTCTCGAGGTAAGCTACAAGAATATGCAATGAAAAATAAGGGGTTCCATTTAAAAAATGCATTTCCGATCTGAATCGCCTATTTCAGGCCGAAACCAGAAGTTGAAAATATCACCATTCGATAGAACGCATCCGATTTATAAGGAAAATTGTTTTTACTTTTTTTAAATAACCACTTCTCTAGTTTTTGGGTGGTACGGGTTGTCTGAAACACCCTGTATATGTAGCTACAACTGACACTAACCGGTCATCGCACGAGCTTCCAACAATTCGGCGACTATCTCTGATTCAGTTTCGGTAGAAGCGACGCTCTCTGGCCAACCGTATTCCTCTCGAATGTCCTCCGGTAAAACGGGATTTCCAACGACCAGCGCAGCCACAGTAGCACCACCTTCCAATACAGGTGTCTTAGATCTCTTTCTAAGAGCTGCGAGAGATGGTACTACCAGCAACGAAAATCTCTCGCATAGATAATCTTCGCCCGGATTGGACTGCAAGGCTGGGAATGGCGCCAGGTAAAGTGATTTTTCGACCACCATGATTAGCTCCTTTCGCGGTGGCGGTAATAGATCCTCGAACGGAGCAAGAAGAAGATCATAAAGCACTTGTATCGGCAACGGCGCTTGCCATGTAGGTCCTTTCGCCCCTCGTCCCCAGCGTGCGCTTCCAGCGCGAGAGCTTACGGAGCCGACACTGAAGAGACTACTCAAACTATAAGAACTGGCGTTCAAGTGATGACCTCTCGATGGGATCTTGGTAGATTCCTCGATGAGTTCGTTGTTCTCGTCTAGGAGCGCTTCGCGCGCTTGAAGGACTCTTTTCTCTAAACCTACTCCGTCATCCAAGGTTGCGGAATGGAATCGTAATAGTCCGCGTCCTGGTGCTAAACACCATGCGTGTAGTTCACATCCTACCTCGCTGAAATCATTTGGTTCAATCATTTTCATCTTCTGAGAAATTCAAACAACAATAAAAAAAAATGCTTCAAGAAATATTAAATATTAGACAATATTAGATAATATTATGTTTTGCTTATGATGAAAGTTAAATTATTTGCTTGTAGAAAATTCATACCTATAATATAAAATAACTCCGCGCTGTCGATCAATAATCTCTGAATAATGAGCCGCATCGTCTAGAGAATTACTTTTAGAACGTCTGGACCTTTCCGCCCAATTCAAAGCCTCTTCTGCTCGATTCAGGCTAATGAGTACTTTTTGCAACATTCTGTACGTCTCTGATAGTAACTCGCTTCGACTGAGTTGCCCGCAAGTAAGGGACACTGAAGTTCCGTCTAATGATTCTAACAAATTCGCGGCCTTCTCCAAGTGTTCCACGGAAATGCTCGCTTCTCCGGCTTCCCAGTGTACGAGACCAAGTCTATGTCGCAGTCTTGCGACTTCCTCTCTTCTGCCCAAGCCCTCGGACAGAGATAAACCGGACTGCAGGTAACTTAGAGCGCGAGGCAGATCCCCGCATAGATGATGAAGTCGCCCCAAATTCGTGAAAGCCACTGCTCGAGCAGGTTGATCCCCCGCCGCGGCCGCCAGACTCAACGATTGTTCCTGCAACCTTATAGCTTCTTCGTACTGCCCTAAAGTCTCCTGAGTCACTCCCAAATTGGCACAAGCGCGAGCTTGCAATCCGGCGGCGTCTAGACCTTCGGCGATCGATAGTTCTAATTGATGATGACGTAACGCAGAATTTGGATCGTCCATCAAAAGATGTACCGCTCCTAAACCGCTGGCGGCTTCGGCCTCGGCAGCTTTATCACCCAATCCTCGAGCAAGGGCTAATTGATGGGACAAACAACTGACGGCTTGCTCATGATTACCCAACGCGGCATGTACTCTGCCTACAAATTAAATGTTAGAATTAGTTCGCACAATCGAGAAAAAGTTGGTGTGATTCGCATAGAAATACAGAGTGGACCAAAAGTCTGGATACAGCCGAATATCTCGTATAGAATGGATTTTAGAACAAAATGCTTTAGACAAAAGTTGTAAGGATTAAAAAGATGTATTTAACTGTAATATCCATTTGACATTGAGTGGCGTCGCCAAGGTCAACTTGAATTTTTTAAATGGAACCCTCTATTTTTCATTGCATATTCTTGTAGCTTACCTTGAGAGCTTTCCAAAACACTATAACAAATTATTTTTCCATCAAGTACTTTTTAAGTTATAAGGCTTGAAATCATTTCTTAATTTTACATAAACCATGAAATAGCTTATAAAATATTCATTTTTCGATTATTTTACCTCAATACTTTTATGTACAAAATAATAAGAGGAATCAATTGGTGTAAAGAAAACACATAGTTACTTTTAAGAAAAAAATATTTAATTGTTAATTGAAAATTACATATTTTTTCTACGAAATAACTATGTGTTTTTTTTTACACCAATTGATTCCTCTCATTATTTTGGACATAAAAGTATTAAGGTAAGATAATCGAAAAATGAATATTTTACAAAATATTTTATGTAAAATTAAGAAATGATTTCAAGCCTTATAACTCAAAAAGTGCTTGAGGGAAAAATATTTTATTATAGTGTTTTGGAAAGCTTTCGAGGTAAGCTACAAGAATATGCAATGAAAAATAGGGGGTTCAATTTAAAAAATTCAAGTTGATCTTGCCCTGACCTTGGTGACGCCACTCAATGTCAAATGGATATTACAGTTAAATATATCTTTTTAATCCTTACAACTTTTGTCTAAAGCATTTTGTTCTAAAATGCATTCTATACGAAATATTTGACTATATCCAGACTTTTGGTCCACCCCGTATATTTACCCTGGATATTTCTATGTAATTAATTTTTTTTCTAAGAACTTAAGAAAATTATAATAAATCCAAATTCAATTTTTGTATTCAGTTTACCTAGATCCCCGTAAGCAGCACCTCTCGCTTCAGGACTGTCCACTTCGTGAGCGGCCACTAATCTCTTTTCGAAACAAACCAAAGCTTCCGGTAAATTCCCGGTAGCCTCGCGAGCTCTTCCCAATCCTCTATACGCTCTCTCCTGATCCCTTATGCTTTTCAATTTTGTTGCGGCTGTCAGTTGTTGCTCGTGGCATTTGATAGCTTCTTCGAGATCACCCAAGGCCTCGTAACAATCTCCCAAGTTTCCAAGTGCTCGAGTTTTGTCGAGCAAAGCCGTGCCAGTAGTTAGTGGCTCCAAAGTTGCCAATTGCTGTTCGAAGTAACCAATGGCATCCTCGTAGTGCGCCATATTAAGTCTAGCTATACCTAAATTTCCTGTAATAAAATATAATAGTAAACGCAAGAACATTTTTAATCTTCAAAACCAAATTTGTGAAAATTAAGCAAAAATCGAATAAAAATGATTTTACTTTGAAGATGAGTGAAAAATCTTCAACGTTTATTTTAGACATCCTTAAATTACCTAATGCTTGAGCTTCGACTCCGGAGTCTGCTAGTTCCTTTGCTCTCTCCAACTGTTCTTGATAACATTTAACAGCGTGAGTGTACTGCCCCAGTGCCATGTGCACTGCGCCCAGATTGCCATGTGCTCTGCATTCGCCGCGCAAGTCGCCGGCCTCTTGCCTCAGAGTTAATTCTTGCGTGTGAAAACCGAGCGCCTTGTCCAGGTTCTTCGTAGCTCGATGAGCGATTCCCAATGCGCCATAAGCGGCCGCTTCCAAGCCGCGATCGGCGGCTTGACGTGCCAAGTTGAGTTGACGTTGATGCATCTTGATAGCTTCCTCGACTTCTCCCATGCGCAGTAAGCAATCACCCATATTTCCCAGAGCGCGGAACTTGCCGGCCAGATGTTTGGTCATGTGCGCGATCGCTATCAAATTATTTTAATTTTTCATCGAGAAATTTATTAGAGAGGACGTTATACGATTATTCACACAAGTTTTACCCAAATAATATTTCTGACATTCCAGAGCAGTGTCTAGGTTTTCCAGGGCCAAGTGAGCCAATCCCAAGTTACAGTAAGCTCTTCCCATTCCAGATTTATCCTGCAGGTCCTTCGCTAGCGCTAAATCCTGATCATAATATCTCACTGCTTCTCGATGATTTCCCAGGCAATAGTGAGCGTATCCCAGAAAGTGGCACGCTTTAGCTTCCCCCTCCACATCGTGCAACTCTTGCGACAGCATAAGATAATGCTCGTAGTACGGCACTGCCTCCTCGAATTTGCCGCGCGAAGAAAGACAATTGGCGAGATTTAACAATGCGCACGCCTCACCAGCCGTGTCCTTCAGTTCCCGCGCTATGGCCAAGTGAGCTCGGTAATGTCTTAATGCCGCCTCGTGACCTTGCACAGCTTGATACGCGACCGCCAAATTTCCGTGTGTGCTAGCTTCCGAGCTACGATCATTAACCTGAACACATCGAACATAGACGATAGATTTAATGAGTAGTTTTATAATTAATTTTATAATTAATTTATGATACGTTTTATAATTAATTTATGATACGTTTACTTTCAAGAATCTCACCTCTTTGCTTATCGTCAATTCTTGCTTATGGTACTTGATAGCTTGTTCATAGTAACCTAAAGCGTTATAAGCGTTGCCGATATTACCATAGGCTCTACCCATGCCGGCTTTGTCTCCTAATGATCTCGCGATTCCCAAGTGTGCCTGATGTAATTTTAAGGCAGCATCATGCTCGCCAAGCAATTGATACACTATACCCAGATTGCTGCAGGCTCGTCCTTCAGCCACCTTGTCCTTTGTAACCAACGCAACGTCGAGTTGTCTCTGATGCCAAAGCTTGGCTTGTCCCAGATCACCTATATGTATTAATAAAATTATATTATACACATGCATAATCAGAAATTAGTGTGAATTAGAAAAAATAATTTATTATAGTGTTTTGGAAAGCTCTCGAGGTAAGCTACAAGAATATGCAATGAAAAATAGGAGGTTCCATTTAAAAAAATGCACTTCCGGTCTGAATCACCTATTTTCGATCGAAACCAGAAGTTGAAAATATCACCATTCGATAGAGCGTATCCGATTTATAAAGAAAATGTTTTTACTTTTTTAAAAGAACCACTTCTTTAGTTTTTAAATGGATGGTACGGGTGGTCTGAAACACCCTATATAAATAACAATACGATTATTGTTATCACCTGCACATCTGGCAGCATGACCCAATCCCGCATATGCTCTGGTCTCTATAGCCCTGTCGCCGAGTTCCTGCGCTATTCTCAGAACGTTTTCGTGATAAGTCATCGCTTGTCCGAAATTTCTACGATAATGATGAGACGATCCTAAATTACTGAAAGCTCTTGCTTCCTCCACACGATCGCCCAGCCGTCTAGCTATCCTCAAATGCTGCGTGTGACAATCAACAGCGCTTTCGAATTCACCCATCGCCAAGTAGACCGCTCCAACATTGCCAATCTCACGAGCTTCTTGCAGTCGATCACCCATCTGTTTCACCAATTGTACGCACTGCTTGTGGGATGCTAGAGCGTTCGGCAAATCGCCGATCGCCGTGTACACATGTCCTAGACTGGTCAAGGCCGAAGCCGCCGCCTGAGTATCCTTGCATTTCATAGCCAGAACAAGTTGGTACCTATGAGCTGTTAAGGCTTCCTTGAAGCTACCCTTGCTGAAATAAGCGGAACCCAGATTTCCGTGAGCTCTGCATTCGCCTTGCGTGTCTCCTAAAGAGCGTGCCACTCCTGGAAGTTTTTATTGTCGATAAAAGCCTCACATTATTTTTACAAGAAAAATAATAATCAATTTATAAAGTCGATCAAAGAAATGTATCTAATCATTAGACTATTTGTGGTACTTTATTGTTACTTGTGCGCATTTTCATGCTCCATTAAAATTATAATTAAATAATAAATAAATTAATTAATAATATTTATAAAAACAATAATTTCTTATTTATTATAAGAGGAACAATATATATTAATATAAACTAATGTGAAAAAAAGATAATAATTATAGAAATAAAAATGAATTATATCAATTATAAAATCATAAATGTGTATAAATTAAAAAAAAACATGGAATTTATATATAAATTGAATACATTGATTTTAATAGATACAATTGCAAATAAATTAGATTAACTGGAATCTACAAAGTAAAAGTAATCCAAACTAAAATTACCCAAATCTTGTTGCATGTAATTTATCGCCTTGTCCAAAGAGTTCAACGCCCAGTACGCGCTAGATAGAGCGGAGAATACGGATCCCCTCAGTTTCAAGCTACACGAACCGATTGTGAGAGCAGCCTCGAGCACACCAGCAGCTGCCCTGTATTGTCCAGCTCCAAGTAACTCTTGGCCGACCACCGATATGACGACGAACGGGGATTCATCGAGTTTCATCGCTCGCAGTTGTTGAAATGTCGGTTCTAAAGTCGGTCTTAACGGAGACTTTAGAGATGCTTCTACTAAGCCAGATAATAACTGATGATTAGACGCGTCATGAGCTAATCCCGTGCTGAAGGCAACGAGTGCCTCTCCGTGACGTCCTAGGCATTGCAGAGCTACTCCTTGTCGGTAGTACGCCTGATTGCAAAATGACAGTAATAAATAAAAGGAAAAAATGTATAATGTATAATGGAAGAAATAAAAAAAATATATATATATACCTTTGGCCATTGTGGGTTCAGTTCGGTAGCTTTGACAGCGTCCTGCAATGCGGCTGCAAATAATCCCATTTTGAGCCTTGCAGCTGATCTGTTTGAGTATAATACATGACTGAGGGGATCCAAGGCGAGAGCTTCTGTATACAATGTTGCAGCAAGAGCGTAATCTCCATTCTGGCATGCCGCATTACTCCTGCGCACTGTTTCTAGGAATAGTGCCCTGGATCCAGCGGCCAAGGCCGACGTACCTTCGGGATCCACCTGAGTACCAAATGAAATAATAATTTAAACAAATTTTCCTTCTTTTATCAGCAGATAATATTAAAATATTTGTATATAAATAAAAATATCTGTATGTAAAAAAATCAAGCAAGAAAAAAAAGAAAGAAAATTGTAAAACTTTAAAGAGAGGAATCATTTTATGAGAATTATTCTTCTTATTTTTAATTCTTATTATTTGAATTATTTTTATTCTTCTGCTTATTTTAATTATATTTGTATGAGATGCATATTTATATGATAAGAATGATGAAGTTGTAACGAATATTTAAGAAGTGCAAATTAATTTAAGAAATTATATATGTATAAGAGATAACACACTTTCTATTTATAAAAAATCCTCTTAATAAAACCAAAAGACCAAGGAGATAATGTCAGACATTTTCATGCTCCATGAAAATAATAATAATAAATTAATTAAATAATAATATTTACAAAAACAATAATTTCTTATTTATTATAAGGAACAATATTGATATAAACTAGTGTGAAAAAAAATAATAATTATAGAAATAAAAATGAATTATATCAATTAAAATCATAGATGTGTATTAAAAAAAAAATATTGAATTTATTTATAAATTGAATACATTGATTTTAATAGATATAACTGCAAATAAATTAGATTAACTGGAATCCACAAAGTAAAATATAATCTAATAAAATATAATAAGAAATAAATATAAAACACGAGCGAGAACGAGACCCTTAGATCCAGAGAAATCGGGCCCAAAATCAGGGGCTGGAGGATGAAAATCTCATCATCGTTACCTCAGAGATATCCCTATGAGACATTGCTTAAGACGAGCTAGTAGCATCCTCTGGCATGAGCATCATCTACGACACAGCGAGCTGCTATGAAAAACAAGCCCCGGATTTTCAACGTGCGACCCTCTCTCTCTCTCTCTCTCTCCGCCTTGCGATAGGATCTTGGCGCCTTCCCTCGACGTTCCCGTTGTATCTGTATCTCGCAGACTAGCACTTGGCCCGTTACATTGTATCACTGTACTAGGAGCGCTAATAAAGGAGGCTTTCTTTTCCCTAGAACGAGGCAAATGGAGCCGATTAATAAAAAAGAAGGGAGGCAGGCGTCTTAGGGGGGCACCCACTGCATTCCTCAGGCACAGCCATCTTGGAATGTGACCTCGGGTCCCCCCGTTGGACCCAAAGCGGGGCCGGCACTGCTGCTGATGCCTGCCCGGCTGTTTGCTCCTTCTACGCCACGTCCCCCCCTCTCTCTCCCTCTCCCTCGTTGGGCCCCACTAGTGGGTCCCGTAGCGGGGCCCGTGTTGCCCACTTGCTCTGCAACACTATCATCAGCGTATGCGCACATACGTATACATATGTAGAGAGGCGGGCCACGAAGGCTGGATACCACCGATGAGCGTGCAACAGCATCCGTTAATGCATTTCGCACCCTCCCCGCCCTCCCTGAATATTGAGGGGGGAGGGAGTCCGTCTTCGTCAGCCGTAAATTTTATTTAGATTCACCGATTATTCAGATTATGCGAGACGTTCCGGGAACAACCAGGCGAATCTCCATCCTTTGCATTAACTGAAGAAAAACCGTTATGACCGGGATACCGTGTATATAAAAGTATGAATGATGAAGGAGGACTTTCTTCTATATATAATGAGAGGGAAAGTTGCACCAATCCTCTGTATAATTAAGATCTGAAATTTTTAACACACATTAATAACACAACACACATATACACGTATATGACAATCAATCATTTTTCAATTATATTATTTATTTTTAGATTATATATATATATATATATATATATATATATATAAATTATAATAAAAATAATAGAAAATTATAATAAAAATTATAATAATAAAAATACTAAATATATCAATTATAATAAACAGAAATAGAATATTGATCATAGAATTATATATATATATATATATATATATATATATATATATATATATAATTATTTTATTATTTATTATTATTTTTATATTATATATATATATATATATATATATATATATATATATAATATAAAAATAATAGTAAATAATAAAAAATAGAAATAATAACAATAATAACAAAATAATAATAATAATAACAATAAAAATAATTATAATAATATAATAATCAAAATATATATAATAATAAAATATATATAATATTTATCAAAATTATATATTTTTCAAACATCAAACAAATCGAAAGTTGAATCATCTCGAAAAGAGGCGCTCTTTAAAAAGATGCTCGTTCTGAAATTTTTTTTAGACAGTAATTTTCCAAACTATTTTGGTAATCTCTTGGAGTTATGCCAATATATACTAAAAAAACCTAGGAGTATAAATATGCATGAAATCAGATTCTAGCAAAACGTTAGTTCAACATATATTTATTATTTTTTCTGGAAAACAAATATCATATTTGTATGTCACTTGCATATTTTAGTTAACAGAAGAAAGATTACATATGAAAAAATGATTATACAGAAATAAGATTAAATTTGTTTTTATTAATATACACATTCTCTCTTATATTTATCTCTGCAACATTGATGTAATCCTCTCGGACGCGAGAAATTATACAAAATTAAATTCGTTGAGGTGTTTTTTCCCTGCTCGATTATTATGTAAGTGTGCTATTTCTCTCTATAAAATTGTACATAAATATATTTTGGTATTAACACTGTATATATGTATATATTGGCATATGTGGCATATACAATACGTTGGCATGTACAATATATGTGACTTACAGATATATTATAAATAGACTATTTTCACACACTTCAGGAATTTACAAAAATGATATTCTTATATTTATAAATATAACGGAACGAATGTGATTCCAGGAATGTATGTTGTTGCAGAATATTGTTAGAATATTTTATAACTAAACAAAATAATATTCACGGATGAAGCACAAGTTCATCAAAACACAAAGCTTTCGCAATTAAAAATAATTATTTTTGTGCACTGCACATTGTATAAATGCTAGAGCCGGAGGTAGCAACATCACATTATTGTGCAAAATTCGTCTTGATGTTATAAAAATCGATCGAAATAGGATGCATTTGCGATTTACGTTTTCCTAATTTTTGATACAAATGTTACCATTGGAAAACTTTCGCGCGCGCGCGCGCCCACACACACACACACACACACACACACACACACACACACACACACACACACATATGTGTATATATATATCTTAAATAAAAATATAAATAAACTCTGACAAATTATATACAGAGTGTTTGATAAAGACTGGACTAACATTCGGGGATCGAAGCACAAAAAATTTAACAGAAAAGTTCTTCACATTTTGCAATTTTTGCAATAATGATTGAAATATTAATTAAAAAAGACTGGCGAATGAGCACGCGTTTCGTGCGATGAAATATAGAATGTATGCTCTAGATACGTCAGCAGCGAGTGTCACATGGTAATAAAAAGCTTAGTTGTGCATTCTCCGATTTTTTTTTTCGTTGTGATATTCTCTTGTTGTTGCGTCCCATATATACATTTTTTAGACTAACTTCGTGAAAGGCGCGCTTATTTGCCAATTCTTTTTAATTAATATTTTAATAATTATTGAAAATTGCAAACTCTGAAGAACTTTTCTATTCAGTTTACTACTCTTTATCTATTTGCAAGCGTGGTACAATTTTTATCAAACACCCTGTATATAAGTATTTATATATCCCTGCATATATATATGTCATACAAATATGCTTATAAAAAGTATGTCAATGTGAAAGCAATATTTGTAAAATCTGACAGAATGTATAATGTGTATATACAAAATGTGACAGACCTAAGGCCATACTTTGTTGAAAAGTTCCATGAAGGAATCATATATCATGAATGTTATAGCGACATCTAGACACACTCTGCCCAGGCGTGGAATGGTTCCTTTGTAAAATGCCATTGGACCCTCCTTCTTCCACACTTGAATCACACAATCCATACTATTCTTGTACTTTGAAGCTTCCAATCCCTAAACACAAAAATAAATTGCAAATTTAAAATGACAGAAAAACACACAAATATGTATAAATAAATGATCCATAATATATACCTGCATCCTAGTTTTTATAACATCAATAGGTGTATTTCCGAAAACGGATGCTGCACCAGCGATTGCACCAAATGCACCCACGACTACTTTAGGAACACTTTTAGTATTGTCACCTCCTTTGTACCAGTCTTTTAATGTTTCCATCACAAAGAAACGGATAGCTTGATTGGATCCTTGCTTCAAGATTGTAGGTACTACTCCCTGATATACTCCTTTAAAACCTGTATACATTAACAATAGCTCATGTATCACTATTGATATATTTTATATTATAATTAAATATAATTTTGTGCACTATTAATATATTATTTAATATATTTCTTACTAAGCTATTTTTAATAAACTTCTTTAATTACAAATATTCATATTTAATATGAAAACAAACATTTGAGCATTTTACAATGTATGTATCACATGATAAGCCAACAGTGTAAGTATACAGGGTGTCCCAAAAGTCCCGGACCGGTCGAATATTTCATAAACTATGCACTTTAGAAAAAAATGTTTCAAACAAAAGTTGTATGACTTGAAGGGGGCCATCAGATAGTGGCAATGATTTGATCTTGGAGAGTCATTTGAAGGTGACGTAAAGGTCACCTTCAATTTCATAAATAAAACCCTCTATTTTTTATTACATATTCGTGTAGCTTATCTCGAGAGCTTTCCAAAACACTATAATAAAGTATTTCTTTATTGAGTACTTTTCGAATTATGAGGCTTGAAATCATTTCTTAATTTTGCATAAACCATAAAATATCTAGTAAAATATTCATTTTTCGATTATTTTACCTTAATACTTTTATGTACAAAATAATGAGAGGAATCAATTGGTGAAAACACATAGTATAAAAAAACACATAGTTGTTTAAAAAAAAATATGTAATTGTTAATTGCAAATTACATATTTTTTTCTTAAAAACAACTATGTTTTTTCTTTAGACCAATTGATTCCTCTCATTATTTTTTACATAAAAATATTAAGGTAAGATAACCGAAAAATGAATATTTTACAAGATATTTTACGTTTTATGTAAAATTAAGAAATGATTTCAAGCCTCATAATTCGGAAAGTACTTAACGAAAACTAATTTAATTATAGTGTTTTGGAAAGCTCTCGATGTGAGCTACTAGAATATTTAATAAAAAATAGGGAGTTCCATTTAAGAAATTGACGGTGATCTTCACGTGACTTTCAAATGACTCTCTCGTGTCAAATCATTGCCACTATCTGATGACCCCCTTCAAGCCATACAACTTTTGTCTGAAACATTTCTTTCTAAAGTGCATAGTTTATGAAATATTCGACCGGAACTTTGGGACACCCTGTATGTTGTAATCTGACCCAATTAAATAGTTATGCAACTCTTAAGTAGATTGAAGGTTAAACTGTAATGATACTTGAAACAATTCTTTAATATTTCTCTTTCAATATTCTAAGTAAATGATTAAATTATTAAAACTAAATAAAATAAAATATATTTAACAAAAGAATTTATACAAGAACATTTAAGCAAAAAAATTTAAGTTTCGTTGAAAAATACATTTAACATAATTACATGTATAAACATATATATACACGTATATAAAATATATTTTTCAAACTTGAGAGCAATTAAGTTACTTTTGTCTTTTCTTGAATTAATTTTTTTACCATGTTCCTTTACAATCAAGTGCACTCCATGAAAGAATCCCCTGAATCTTGGAGTCGCCGAACGTTGATCGTTGATAAATTTCACTTTAATCGTCTCCATCGGAGTGACCGCAAAAATAGCTTCGCATACTCCGGCGCAAAGACCCGCCAGGAGTCTCCTTTGTGGATTGAGTTTCCCATCCGCATCCACCAAGTGATCCTTCACTGTTTCAAAAGCACCAAATCGCACCGCTGACTTTGGTATAGAACCATAGAGTAGGACGGACAAGCCTCTATACAGGCCAAAGAATCCACGGGTCTTAATAGTCTTGGTTACGCAGTCAACTATTCCTGTATATTCTTTGCCAGCTCCAGCTTTTCCATCTAGTTGCAATTGTGTCTTTACATATTCTGTTGGATATGTGATGCAAATTTCTATGCCTCCAGTAATACCACCTAAAAAAATTAAATATATTAATTACATATTCTCAAGTATATTTGTAACAAATTTAGAAACAAATGATATATATGCATTATTACTGCTGAGGAAATATCTTGAGAAAGAAAGATTGAGTGAACTATAAATAGCTCAAGAAATCTATTATTAAAAAATAATATAATAGAAGCACAAGACTTTTTACAATCAATATGTACAAAATTAAAAGTAGGAAAAATTATAATTATAATGAGAAGAAAATAATTATAATTATGAACAGAAATAAAATATGAATTATAAAATTACAATTATAAAGAATATTATATATATGTATATATATATACATACATTTTCTTTATATAATATATTGATATTTCTACAATTATGTTTCATAAAATTTCAATTTATTACTTATTATTTTCACATAATAAATTAACACTTTTGTAATTAAAAATTGTCCACATAAATCTAAAAGTTATGCTGAAACGAAACAAACATGTGATTCATTAGTAATTATTGAAAAAGAATCTTTTGCCAAGGAAATACTGACTGTGAATACTCCAAGAAATCTGTCATTGAAAAATATGTAATACAAGTGCATACTTTTTATAATGAATATGCAAAAAATGACGATAGAACAAAATTATAATGAATAAAAATAGAACATGAATTATCAGATTACATATATATATATATATATATATATATATATATATATATATATATATACACACTATAATTCTATGATCAATATTCTATTTCTATTTATTATAATTGATATATTTATTATTTTTATTATTATAATTTTTATTATAATCTTCTAATATTTTTATTATAATTTTTACTATAATTTTCTATTATTATATTATTATAATTGAAGAATTATAAAAAAAAATATACATATACATATATACATATACATATATTTTTTTTTTATAATTCTTCAATTATAATAATATTATAATAATAGAAAAATATAATAAAAATAATAGAAAATTATAATAAAAAAATTATAATAAAAATAATAGAAAATTATAATAAAAATTATAATAATAGAAATAATAAATATATCAAATATAATAAATAGAAATAGAATATTGATCACAGAATTATAATTATAAAAAAATCTTTATAATTTATTGATGTTCTGCTATTGCATTTCCATATACATAATAAATTCATGTTTTTCAAATTACAAATCATTTAGATCCAGAGGTCATAATGGAAAGGAGCGAGCGTAATTCTCCGTTAAATCTTGGAAAAAAACACGAGGTGAGCGCACATAAATACATATTAATACGTAATTTTACGAGATCGCGCGATCTCTCGCGCCATCATCATCATCATCGTACGATTATGCCAGAGTGCGCTGACTCCGCAAAAGGAGTCCTTCATGAGCGATCCTCCTGACAGGTGTCAAAGGTCGACGCGGAGGCCTCCGGCCTCCCTCCCCCTGTCCTCCTCCCAACGAGAGTAACTTACCGGCAATGACCCCCTTGAGGCCCAGGTTGCCGGAGGCGACGGCGGCGGCGGCGACGCCGGTCTCGCTCGTCCACGGCCTGCGTGGAAACGGCGTCGAGAAGCCCCGACATCCCAGAGTCGCCAGCGTGCCCTGTTGCTGCCTCCTCGTCGAATCCATGGTACTCCGGATGTCCTCGTCGTCTCGACGCGCTGCCGCCTACACCGCACAGCTGATCGACGCGGCCGATTGACACCCGAGTCCCGATGAGCCGCGACCGGGTCCCTTCCCCCCCCTCCGCCTCGCCTCTCTCTCCCGCTCCGCGGATCACTCCCCCCTCCGCGACCGCGAACGACGACAACAATGTCGTCGGCTGTCGCGTTATTGCTTCAGCTCCAGCGTTTTTTTTTTCCTCGCCTCACTTGTAGAAGTGGACAGGAGGGGAATGTCTTCGAATTAAATTATGAAATGACATGAAAAAATATTAAAATATAATTAAATAAATATATTAAATAATTTAATATGTAATTAAATATTAAGTAATGTATCTTAATGTTTATGGAATAATGTGTATAAGTTTGTCGATCGCTCGATAATTATCTGCACGAGTGTTCTTTTTTTCTTCTCACATTTAATTGCACCTCCCCCCTCTCTTCAGGCTTGAAATAAATGAAATGAAAAATTGTTTGCTATTGTCGTTTTCTTTTAAAGAAATAAATAGACCTTCGCCGAGTTTTTTTTTACATCGAATTAGGATAACAATATCGATAATCTCGGTTGGAGACAGTTATTTTTCGAAACGATATTTTTGTTCGATGCGTGGAAAAAGAAGGCGCGGTGTTGAATATTATACATGTTTTATATTTGAAAAATTAACGAAGAACGAGTGAATCGAAAGATAAATTGCACCAAAAAGTGCCAATCATATCGTCTATTGTGCCGTTCTCATAGCTCAGTCTATTGTAAGTCCAGTGTAGTCCAGTGCGGCTAAATATATACATAAAGATCTGCTTCGTCATGGAATCTCGATTCTACTTTTAGCTGAAATTTCCGGAAAGTATATATATAAAATGTAAACATATATATATATATATATATATATGTTTACATTTTATATCAGTAAAAACTGGGAAATATTAAGATATGATGAATTAAAATATAATGAAATGATATTAAAAAATATTAAAATATAATTTAAAAATAAATATCAAATAATTTAATATGTAATTAAATATTAAGTAATGTATCTTAATATTTATGGAATAATGTGTAATAAGTTTGTCGATTGCTCAAGAGTAATTATCTGCCGTTGCACGAGTGTTCTTTTTTTTCTTCTCACATTTAATTAGCATCATGCTGATGCTTAATTAATGGGCTGCCGAAACGTTAGATAATACTCGCATCGACATACATTTTAGAATGATAATTTATTATCGTGAATAAATATAAAATCACGCGATCTCGTCGTTCGATTGAAGAAAACAAAAAAATCATAATTATAATCAACTTTATAAAGCGTAACAAATATTTTAGATATGCAGCATTTGAAACTTATTTGTCAGTTATATTTTTTATAAACAATTTTAGTAATTTTAATCATATTTTCTCTTTTTGTTGTCAAAGTTGATTATTATAAAAAGTCAATTATAAGAAACTTTATAAGATATAACGAATATTTTAGATATGCAGCATTTGAAACTTATTTGTCAGTTATATTTTTTATAAACAATTTTAATAATTTTTACTTTCTTTTTTTGTTGTCAAAGCTGATTATTATAAAAAGTTGTATTATTTTATATATATAGTTATATATATAGACCCTCGACTATAAAAAATATTATATAAATACAAACAATAATTGTAACATTTTAAATTATACTATATATATATATATATATATATATATATATATATATATATACATATATATATTTTTTTTATCAAATAAATTTACATGAAAAATAGATCTCAAATTAATTGAAAAAAAAAAAATTTTAAGGGATGACCCATTAAATCTAAGACATTTTATATAAAGGAATTCATGAAGCTGAATTTCATGAGCAGCACATATATATAAACACTGTTGACTATAATATTGTTACATCTCTTCAGATGCAACCATGCATCCATTATTTTTTCACAATTTGTTTCCATATATTTCATATTTTACGATGTGAATGATGTTGAAATAAAAATTGTATTGTTACTTATTCTACCACTATAAATATTAAAGGATATATACCATAAATTGAAATAGTATATTCATTAAAAAATGTGGATAGGATTTTTTTCTAAATGTGGCCTACCAGCCAGGTGTCGTATTTGCTAAACGTCGCATACGTCTGAAAGAGAAAATAAGTGAATGAATGATATGTCCTATATTCATCATCATAAAATACAACCAAGTATAGTTAATCCTTACCGAGTATTTCGATCCTGATCGCGTATCTTCTTCTCCATCTCCGCGTCCGTTAAAGTTTCCAAGAATGGCGCCCATTGATCAGCCTCTGATGGAGGTCTGAAAGGGACCTCTACGGTTGGAAGCGGCGCTTCGGAAAATGCATATGTTCTCTGATGCCATGACAATTGTCCACGTACACTGCAAATATACATAAGTGTACACATAGTGTATAAATCATGAGGAAAGCATTCGAAATAATTAATATATTCATTTCATATTAATTCCATTGATATTCCTTTAATAAATTATCAGACTACTCAAATCTTGTAAAAAAATTTCCAATTATATTTACTCAAAATTCGAAGAGAAACAATATTTTTATTGTATGTCTTTCCCTTTGCTTTTACAAATTTAGTTACAAGGAAAAATAAATTTACTACAAAGGAAAAATCATTTAAATTTCAAATGCTAAATTTGCATATAACTGAAAAAAATTAAATAGCTTTTGCAAAATAAACATTTTTCATTTGTATAACATTTTTTATATTTTTATCACTAAAAATTATAATAAAAAAGATATATTGCATATTCAATATCTTGCTAAAAGAGGCAAATATATATTTATAATACATTTTAAACACATAATTTAAACTTGGTTTATTAGTAGATTGCTTATACTATAACAGTAAAATAATTAAAGAATTTCTAAAAAATTTTCTGAGTCTCAATAAAATTCCATAAGAATTCCCTGACTCTTCAAGCTACAAAAAAAATCTCTGAGAATTTCAGAGAGACTAGACACCCTAGTTGTTAATTTAGATAATAGAAAATATAATTCACATTGGGCATGTATAGCTATATATCATTCTGCATAAATATAATTTTATAGTTGTAGAACGAATGAACAGTTACATTATTTTACCTGTAAGCGATGGCGGTAACAAATTCTCCACCGAGACCGAGTTCCGCGCAAAGCTTCATTGCAAATTTCTCCGGATTGTTCTCTTTCTCAGACATATCCCATTCTACTTGATCTACTAAGGACGTATTGCCTACATGTATGTTTAATTTTATTATCACTCGCTGATCGCATTGATCTTCCAAAATTGTCTCCTGTGGAAATGCTTCTATTTGTTGCCTTATCGCTTGCGCAATTGCAGGGACAAACGTTAATGGATTCAAGTCTAAATCATCACATAGTACTTCGGCGAATTGCTCAGGTGTTATGAGACTTTCTGAAAAATAAAAAATTTAATTTATCATAATTGACTATTTCTTTTCATTATTGGAATCTTTATTATCTATAAATATGTACCGTTTTTATTCCAAGTGAAGGTGTCCCTTAGTTTCTGACCTTCAATTTCCATATCTAAACGAATCGGAACAAGCATTTCTTGTTGTGCTGCATTTTCCAAGTTTGCTGAGGGATCTGTATCGTCGAAACTACATCCAAAATAAAAGCATAAGGTTTATAATTGCTACATAAAATATAGAATTTCATATTTATTTGATTGCAAAATTTCTTACCATAATGGAAACGTTCTAACTTTTTTATTGTGTACTCGATTGCGATTTATTGGCGTGGCTTGAGGAACTGCATCCAGGTGTGAACTATTTGGCAAGCTGGGTACCCATGCCATTGATTTCTTGGATTTACCTTCTCTGGGTGCCGGTGGTTCAGTTGAATGTACAGATACAGCCTTGTACTTGTCATCATTGCCTTCTATGATATCTTCTACCTCGCTAGCTCTCAACAGTGAAACACTGGATGCTAGAACATGTTGGCTTAATCCAAGCTCTACCAATTTCTTACGTTCGTCATTAGTTATGGATCTCCTAAACATGCCAGGATATCGTTTATACAAAGACCCGCGAAAAAGACGCAGATAATTGCCAACTTCCGATCCAATGCAGTAGTATTCTCCATTTTCTTCTACTTGGAAGCTTATGGGTTTGTCTCCATAGGTGCGTAACGCCATTTTGATGGCAATGTTGCTGTAAATTTTAAAAAGAGTCAAGTTTCATTTTACAAAGTGACAATTAATTTAAAGATCGCAAAACAATTATACAATGAGATATAAAAATTTCAATATATCTGGCATATTAGATATTAGATTATTAAATTTGTGAAAATTGGCAAACAAATTAAATTAATGAAGAGGATTTACTAATAATTAACAGATTTATTGCATTTATCTGTATTCTATTTTTTTTTTAATTTCTTGATAAAAATCAATGCTCTTCTATTAAATATTCATCATAGCAGATTGGTAATATTGAATGAACTGTGTTTTTTGAATATTTTTGAGCAATTTCAGAACTTGTAGACATAAACTCTTAAACTTAGATAAGATAATTTTCATCCACTTGCGTTTACAAACTCTCATAAATCTTTTCTGTCATGCATTTGTTTATATTTTTTGACACGTATTTAGGCTAGATATATAGCAATTCGAAAATCAAGATCTCATTAATTTTTTTTTAGACTGAACACAAAGGAAGGATAATTATGTTAAGATGTATTATCATAGGCAAGTAAATATAATACTCACACTGACAATTAATTATCAACTACTAATAATGAGTTCTATTATGATTCTATTAACATATCGGAGCAACAAACAGTACAAATCCTCTAATAAGAATCTGGATTACTCTATAGACTACTCATTCGATACAGAATTCAATGCTCCTATGATTGACTCCGCCATTCTTGACCAAAAAGACACCCAACCAATCAGGAAAAACTCCAGACTCGACTCGACAGTCTTTCAAGAGCGCCTCGTTTGACAGCCAATTACATCAATTTGTGCCTAGAATAATCCTTAGGGTCCCTAGGGATCCAGCATAGATCGACCAATCAGGGAATTCTATTTTGAATTGGCCAATAGGCAATGTGGTCGTTCGAAAATCAAGATCTCATTAATTTTTTTTATATAGATTAATGAACACAAAGGAAGGATAATTATGTTAAAATATATTACCACAGGCAAGTAAATATAATACTCACACTGATAATTAATTATCAACTATTAAATTGATTCCGCCATTCTTGACCAAAAAGAATCCCAACCAGGAAAAACCCCAGACCCGACTCGACAGTAAAGGTGCAATTTCATTGACGCTAGAAACCAGCGGCAAATTAAAATCACTAGACTTTCTCTAGATATGGCGTCAATAAAATAAAGTTCAACAGTTTCAACTTTTTCAGTGTGTAAAGGTGCGGCCTCATTGACGCTACTTTTTAGCGTCAATGAAATTGCACCTTAACAGTTGGCAGCCCTACGAGATAGGCTGTGCAGCACTGCGCGTATATAAAATAAATTTGAAATCGCTTCTAGCCTAACCATCTTCACGCGATCGACTTTATTTGAATTGCACGGCATCGCATCGAATTATGATGCGGCGTCGATTTGTTCGAACGTAATTCGGGACATCGCGATGCTGTATAAGCGTCGAATGAGCACGAATTGTCACGCAAATATGATAAATTACATCTACTCACCGTTCACCGGCTGTTCCACAGGCCGCTCCACTCGCTCGCCTCGGGACGTCCCATTCCGATCTTGATGCACACGATATCATCAACGAACGCGCGACACTTTATTCGGCACTCCCGATATTCGCTCGCATCCGATAATCATCATCAAGGGCGCAAATAACGCGATGCGACTTCGCTCCATCTTCGCGATCGCGCTATCACTGAACTGTGAAAAATAGCTGTCGCGCACTTTCACCAACATATTATGAAAGTCGCGCGATCATCCTTGGACACTTTCGACGCTCTTTCACTCGCGATATTCGTTTAAAAACGGTTAAAAGACGCGAAAAATGCGGACGTACAACGATCCGTGTAACTGCGTATGACTCCGATTCACGTATGACGCGTATGACGTAGCAATGACGCGTATGACGTAGCGATCACGCGCTAACATGGCGGCCGAACCAGTGCGCATTCGTTTCTGCGTACTGGTTCGGCCGCCATGTTAGCGCGTCACTGTACGTCATACGCGTCATACGTGAATCGGAGTCATACGCAGTTACACGGATCGTCGTACGTCTGCATTTTTCGCGTCTTTTAACCGTTTTTAAACGAATATCGTGAGTGAAAGAGCGTCGAAAGTGTCCAAGGATGATCGCGCGACTTTCATAATATGTCGGTGAAAGTGCGCGACAGCTATTTTTTACAGTTCAGTGATAGCGCGATCGCGAAAATGGAGCGAAGTCGCGTCGCGTTATTTGCGCCCTTGATGATGATTATCGGATGCGAGCGAATATCGGGAGTGCCGAATAAAGTGTCGCGCATTCGCGTTGATGATATCGTGTGCATCAAGATCGGAATGGGGGCGAGCGAGTGGAGCGGCCTGTGGAACAGCCGGTGAACGGTGAGTAGATGTGATTTATCATATTTGCGTGACAATTCGTGCTCATTCGACGCTTATACAGCATCGCGATGTCCCGAATTACGTTCGAACAAATCGACGCCGCATCATAATTCGATGCGATGCCGTGCAATTCAAATAAAGTCGATCGCGTGAAGATGGTTAGGCTAGAAGCGATTTCAAATTTATTTTATATACGCGCAGTGCTGCACAGCCTATCTCGTAGGGCTGCCAACTGTTAAGGTGCAATTTCATTGACGCTAAAAAGTAGCGTCAATGAAAAGGCCGCTTAAAGGTGCAATTTCATTGACGCTAAAAAGTAGCGTCAACAATTGGTTGAACAAAGAAGCAACTACTTCTTTGTTCAACCAATGGTTGACGCTACTTTTTAGCGTCAATGAAATTGCACCTTAAGGCACTAAATATATGAGTATTCTATACTCCGCCATTTTTAATCCATCCCCCCACCCCATATAATCTCACTAACCTATCTACTATAATCTCAGCTTAGCGACGAGGCGAGTGACACGAGAAACAAGGAGGGGGAATGGATTAAAAATGGCGGAGTATAGAATACCTGTATATTTAGTGCTCTATCGACAGTCTTTTGAGAGCGCCTCGTTTGACAGCCAATTATATTAATTCGTGCCTAGAATAATCCTTAGGGTCCCTAGGGTAACCAGCAGAGATTGACCAATCAGGGAGTTCTATTTTGAATCGGCCAATAGACGATGTGGTCGTCTGAAATAACACAATATTTAATGTCAAGTACATACGTTTCACGTTCAACGAGAACCAATCGGGGCCAATTCGCTTATCGTTAACTCCGCGAAGCCCGTCACCTGTCACCTACATGTGCGCGGAGTCTTCGTGCTCCGATAACGCGCGGTGAGGTGTCAAACGCCAGTATCATCGTACGGTGTCACTTGCACTCTAGCAGAAGGAATAACTCTTTTCCAAAGTGGGTGGCAGCTCGATCCGATTCTCACGGTTGTCTGCGGATAACCTTCGATTGTTTCGCTCGCCCCTTCTCCGTTCCAGTCGCTGTAACAAAATAGACAGGTATTAACGAGCGAGCAGATGCAACCGTTCGAGATACTCCGTAACGTATCACGCTTTTGGTCCATTTTGTCATTAAAGGCGACGCGTTTCCTTATCACCCTCTCGTATCCACCTCCAAGACTGCTGCATCATTTTTTTTTCCGGGCGAGCCCGATGTAGCTTGACATTTCTAGTATCCTAATCTTTATCGGCGAGAGAGTTAGCGTTATGACACCATAGATTCTGAACATTGATCCAGTTTGCTATATAGCAAGATTGACAGTGAGGCTGAATTTTTTTTATCTCGTTCAATTGGTGTCAAATCAAATTGTAGGAGAAATTAGATATAAATTATCCCATACAGAATATTGCAGCAATATTATTAATATTGTTGTAACATTGCAATATTGCTACAATATTATTTATTATTTAATTTCTCTGATTGATATTTCTTATTATTTAATTTCTTCACTATAGAGAGAGAGAGATATTTATACAGAATATTACAGCAATATTATTAATATTGTTGTAACATTGCAGCAACATTGCAATATTGCTACAATATTATTTATTATTTAATCTCTGATTGATATCTCTTCTTATTTAATTTCTTCACTATAGATATTTATACAGAATATTGCAGCAATATTATTAATATTGTTGTAACCTTGCAGCAATATTGCCACAATATTACTTATTAATCTCTTATTAATACTTTAATCTCTGATTGGTATCTCTTATTTAATTTCTTTACTATATATATATATATTTATTTTTTATATATTTTTTTTTTTTTTATTATCTGCCCTCTCATTTGCATCGCTCTCAGCTGATGTGAATTCTATATTTATTGCATTTTATTCTTGCTGCCTTTAATCCTATCATTGAATTTTGATAAGTAATTTTAAATATAAATTTAATAGTTAATTTTAATCAAATTTTACTTGTGTGGGAAAAATTTACATGAATTATCAAATTCATTAATTACTCTTACTTCAAATAAGTTTATATATTATTATGATTACTTAATTAAGTAATTATTGAGATTTCATTCTCGTGGATTTTGAATCAAATTCTACAATTTTATTCAAAACACAACTCTACGAGCTATGCAATGAAATCTTTTATTTAATTCCAGTGCAAATCTCAAAATTATTATCTCCTCTCTCATCCTCGTGGAATTATTTTTCTTTTAGCTTATGCGAATTTTGAGATATTCATTACATTTTAATCTTATTTCATTCTTTACCTATTGAATATTTTGATAATATTATTGTAGTTAATTTCAGTAAGATTTGACTTGTGTAATAACAATTTTTATTTTACTTTAAAATTTTTATATGTGGCATAAATTATCAATCTTATTTATTATTTTTATTCTAGAGTTTCTAAGTTTAGTAATTTTTATTTTATTTTTTATATGTGGTATAAATTATCAATTTTATTATTTTTATTCTAGATAACTTTGTATATATATAATTACAATTACTGATTAAGTTATTAATGAGACCTTAGTACTTTTATTAAGAAATTAGTGATATTAGATCAAAGAAAAATAGATAAAAATAAAGTTTTTTTATATTGTGCATATTGAATGTGTAATTATTAAAGATTTTATCCATAGGTTATAAATTTACATAATTTATATATTTTGTTACATACTACGCTATATAGACAGGATGACTGATTCAAAGTATTTTACTACTACAAAAAAGGGAGAGATATTTGAGCTCAAGTCAGAACTGAATAATGAGAAAAAAGAGAAGAAAAAAGAAGCTGTAAAGAAGGTAAAAATAAAAATCTACTATTAATATATGTCGTTTTAAATTTTTTTTCAAAAGAATATTAAAGAGCTTTTATTTTTTAATATGCAAAGAGATAAATAAATTATATATGTTGCATTAAAAAGAAATATACATAATTAAAACAGCAATATATTATTATAGACTAGCATTATTATAGCATTATTATAGACTAGCAAGATATACTATGACTGCATTGTTCTACTTATTGTAAATCATCTAATTAATATGAAACTAATATATCAATATAAATTATATGTATTAATAACAAATGATGTGCAATATAATAGCACTTACATAAAGCTTATTTTAAAAAGTAGAGTAAAATTAATTAATCTTAATAATCAATCTTAATAACATTGTAGAATAAAATTAATTAATCTGAATAAAAATTAAATAATAAAAAAATCTATATATCTACTATAAAATATTGCATTTTATATTGTATGGTATGTAATAGAAAGTAAACTTGTGTTACAATAACGTTATGTTGTTGTTAATTATTTATCCAGGTTATTGCTTCTATGACAGTCGGGAAAGACGTGTCTGCGTTGTTTCCTGACGTAGTGAACTGCATGCAGACTGACAATTTGGAGCTGAAAAAACTGGTGTATCTGTATCTGATGAACTATGCCAAGAGTCAACCCGACATGGCCATCATGGCAGTCAACACGTTCGTCAAGGTAACGTAGCTTAGAAACTCGCCAATTCAATTCATGATCACGATTTTATTATATAACGTGCACTTTTACCTTCTATTACATATTTCTTAATGATACTGGGTAATGTTCAGAGTCTGTCTGTAAAGAGAGGCAAGCTGAAAAAAATCCATTCTTATGTATATTAAATCTTTTTCTCTCATTGGTATTGTAAATACATTCCCTTATCAGATATTATCCTCGCTGTATCTATTTTACAGCGTGCCTCGCACTGTATACAGACTGTGCTTTGCAAATTACAGTTTGCACAGGGCTGTCTGCGTTATGGGACGGAATGTAACTTTTTCGTTCATTATGACTGAACTGTTCATTTTTCAAAGGGCACAGAGGGAAAGGGGAGACAGTGATCTGGACTTTGGTTGCCCCAATATTGTATATTTTAATAATTTAATTATTTATTAATTAATTATTATTCCTCAACAATCGAATTATATAATGATGTAATGTGAGAGAAAACATTTCCTATTTTTGTAACATCATTTTATATGCAAAACCAAATTCCAGAATGTACTCTATTATATTAATAGCCTATTTATATTGATATATAAATATTTACATGTAATGATTAGATACAATAATATATATATATTTACATGTACAACGATTGTTAACAAATAATTAATTGAATAATTTATAAAATCTCGTACATATATTACTTTCCTCACGCTAATGCACTAATATATATAAATCTTATTTTTTCGGACTATTGAGCATGTATAATTTAAAATCACGCAAATTTCAATCTTTATCCAAAATGCTTTAAATATATACCTTTATATTTCTCGCATTGCTGTATTATTTATGATATAAATATATTTTAAATCGAATTTTAAATTACACAAATACCATCTCAAAGATAGAATTCAAATGTTAATCTTTTATTCGCAAATTTCTAATGTGCAGGAGCATGAAGAATGTGATTCCTTAAATGTTTATTTTATATATATATATATATATATATATATATATATATATATATAGGGTGTGTCACTTTAAGTGATGCAGCTGAATATCTCTTAAAGTAAAGGAGATTGGGAAAAATGTATCAGACAAAAGTTGTGTGGTTTCAAGGGGGACATAAGATAGTAATTGGAGTAAATGGTCATTAATTTGACCATGAATAGTTATTTGAAGATCACGTGAAGGTCACCTTCAATTTTTTATTACATATTCTTATAGCTTATCTCGAGAGCTTTCCAAAACACTATAATTAAGTTAGCTTTCATTAAGTACTTTTCGAGTTATGAGGCTTAAAATCATTTCTTAATTTTACATAAACCGTATAATATCTTGTAAAATATTCATTTTTCGATTACCTTACCTTAATACTTTTATGCATAAAATAATGAGAGGAATCAATTGGTGTAAAGAAAACACATAGTTGTTTCTAAGAAAAAATATGTAATTTGCAATTAACAATTACATATTTTTTTTTTAAGAAATAACCATGTTTTTTCTTTATATCAATTGATTTTTCTTATTTTGTACATAAAAGTATTAAGGTAAGATAATCGAAAAATGAATATTTTACTAGATATTTTATGTAAAATTGAGAAATTATTTCAAGCCTCATAACTCGGAAAGTACTTAATGAAACTAACTTCATTATAGTTTTTTGGAAAACTCTCGAGATAAGCTATAAGAATATGTAATAAAGAATAGGTAGTTTTATTTTAAAAATTGAAGATCTTCACGTTACCTTCAAGTAACTATTCAAGGTCAAATTAATGATACCATCTTATGTCCTCCTTGAAATCATACAACTTTTGTCTGAAACATTTTTTTCCCAATCTCTTTTACTTTAAGAGATATTCAGCTGCATCACTTAAAATGACACACCCTGTATATATATATATATATATATATATATATATATATATATATATATATAATTGCAATCGGTGCTTGTGTATAAAGATCATATTTACTAATTGCACGCACAATTTGTATCATTCTCAAAATTTCAGTGTATCTATAATGAATGTAATTTGTTACAAATATAATACTTTATGATGCAAATAATATATATAAATATATATTTTGTAAATATGCTCTTCTCTATGTTAGATACATATACATATGTATCTTGTTTAAGTTATCTTTATTTGCATGGCGCTGATATTGGTGTAACATTCGTAATTTAACTTTCTTCTCATAAAACCAGCAATTGAAAGAAAAGGAAAAACAATAACTTACAATACCTCGTGCTCTTTAAAAAATGACCAGTTCTTGATCACATACTACTTTATAAATGACTGATAAGTATATAGTATTTAACACTTAATGAAAAATGGTGACGGTGACCAATTTGACCTTTTTCGTTCTGACACGCAAAAGGAGCTAGCGACATCTCCGATGACAAAGGTACCAAATGCTATTTTCTATTTTGTTAAAATTCATGGGTTGAGATAGATAGCCACTACTGTGACTAGACTTGAATCCCTGGCTTGCCCGATTTTTGCGCAGGACTGCGAGGACCCAAATCCGCTGATTCGCGCGCTAGCAGTTCGCACGATGGGATGCATACGCGTCGACAAGATAACCGAGTATCTGTGCGAGCCGCTGCGTAAGTGTCTGAAGGACGAGGATCCATATGTACGCAAGACCGCAGCCGTGTGTGTCGCCAAACTTTATGACATTAACGCAGCCTTGGTCGAGGACCAGGGATTTCTGGATCAATTGAAGGATCTCCTATCCGACAGCAATCCAATGGTAAGCTAGTCATTGTTCCACTCTCTCAGAGCTTGGTAGATCTTAAATATACCATATAGCAAATCAATACTTTCAGATTTTACATATTTTCAACGTTTCTCTGTATACAGGGTGTCCCAAAAGTCCCGGACCGGTCGAATATTTCATAAACTATGCACTTTAGAAAGAAATGTTTCAGACAAAAGTTGTATGGCTTGAAGGAGGCCATCAGATAGTGACAATGATTTGACATGGGAGAGTCATTTGAAAGTCACGTGAAGATCACCGTCAATTTCTTAAATGGAACTCTCTATTTTTTATTACATATTCGTGTAGCTTATCTTGAGAGCTTTCCAAAACACTATAATAAAGTATTTCTTCATTGAGTACTTTTCGAGTTATGAGGCTTGAAATTATTTCTTAATTTTGCATAAACCATAAAATATCTAGTATAATATTCATTTTTCGATTATCTTACTTTAATACTTTTATGTACAAAATAATGAGAAAAATCAATTGATGTAAAGAAAAAAAAAGTTGTTTTTAAGAAAAAAAATATGTAATTGCAATTAACAATTACATATTTTTTTTAAAAACAACTATGTGTTTTCTTTACACTAATTGATTCCTCTCATTATTTTGTATAGATTTCGTGTAGAGAAGCTACACGAATATGTAAAAAAAATAGAGAGTTCCATTGACGGTGATCTTCACGTGACTTTCAAATGACTCTCCCATGTCAAATCATTGTCACTATCTGATGGCCCCCTTCAAGCCATACAACTTTTGTCTGAAACATTTCTTTCTAAAGTGCATAGTTTATGAAATATTGGACCGGTCTGGGACTTTTGGGACACTCTGTATATTACATATGATATAATGTTAGAAAAATTGATAAAAGAGAAATTTTTAAAGAAGAGAGATTAAAACGATTTTAATTATTATTTTCTAAAAAAAACTATGAGACTAAATAGTGTGATAATACAGTGACGATTGTTGCTAGGTTGTTGCAAATGCGGTAGCTGCATTGTCTGAAATCAACGAGGCTAGTCCAAGTGGTCAACCGTTGGTGGAGATGAATGCACAGACCATAAACAAACTACTGACAGCACTTAACGAATGTACAGAATGGGGCCAAGTTTTCATCCTGGATTCACTGGCGAATTATTCGCCAAAGGACGATCGCGAGGCGCAAAGCATCTGCGAACGGATCACTCCACGCCTGGCACATGCTAATGCCGCAGTCGTGCTTTCTGCTGTCAAGGTAAACGTATTCTGAATAAATTGCAGAAGTAGAGAAGACTTTGATAAAACACACATTTTATACAATTTATGTATTTCAAATAATTTTTGTATTTTAAATACATTAGCTTTAGAATGTAAGAATTAAAAGAAATAAATACCTCAAGTTTTTATCTCTTTAAAGAGCCTTTAAAGTAATCTTCTTTTATTTTTTGGATAATTTTACCGCACATTAATTGAGTTTGCTTCGATATCGCAGGTATTAATGAAATTGATGGAGATGTTGCAATCCGAATCGGACTTCGTCGGCACACTTACGAAGAAATTGGCACCACCTCTTGTCACATTACTGAGCTCCGAGCCAGAGGTTCAATATGTCGCATTAAGGAACATCAACCTCATTGTGCAGAAGCGACCCGACATTCTGAAACACGAGATGAAAGTATTCTTTGTCAAATACAACGATCCGATATATGTAAAACTGGAGAAGCTGGATATTATGATTCGTTTAGCGTCGCAAGCCAATATTGCTCAAGTTTTGTCGGAGCTGAAAGAATATGCTACTGAAGTTGACGTGGATTTTGTACGGAAGGCTGTGAGAGCTATCGGTCGGTGCGCCATAAAAGTTGAACCATCCGCTGAACGTTGTGTTTCCACATTGCTAGATCTGATACAAACCAAGGTAATTAAGTAAAAGATGTCTTGGAGTAGAGAGAATGATCAAACTTAGAGGTATTTTTTAAAATCTTTTTATTCATTTTTATCAGGGTTGGCATGTTTTAAACAATGTGTTTAAAACTATTTGATTAAAACAGTGGACACTGTTTTAAACTTTTTTGTTTTAAACTATTTTAAACTACTGTTTAGAATCGTTTAAAATATCGCAAATAAAATATATGATTATTTGGAAAAGAAATTGTAAAAAAAAATCAAAAACAAACAAAAACTAATAGATGCGTATATTGCAAAAAAGTTTTTGTTTTAGTGTTTTTAGTTTTTTATCTATATTTATATAACATAGATATAAAAATATAAATAATAAAATAAAAATGATAAGATGGGTTATTTTAGCAGAAAAAATGATAAGATGGATTATTTTAGCAGAATATTTATTTTATTAAATAACAATCAATACAATAAAGATTACTTAGAAGATATTGACTGATTTTACATTTTACATTTTAGCATTTTAAATTAATAGTACATAACTCATAGCAGGTCAGTAGTTCTAAAAAAAAGTTCTTTTAAAAAGAAGAATTGAGGTTTTTTATTTTTCTTTTATTTATAATTTATGTTGAGAGTTAAGCATGAGATTACTTAATAAGAATAAGAAAGGAACCAAAGTATTATATATTAAATATTGTTAACTAAAACTTTTTTTTTCCAAAAATAAATAACTCGAAAAATACATATTCTGCTAAAATAATACCCATCTTATCATTTTTATTTTATTATTTATATTTTTAATAACGTTGTCAATTTTGGCAACGTTATTTACAGTTTAACGCTAGCGAAAAATTTAAATATTTACACAGATCAAAGCTATTAAGTGTTTTTTGCTTGTTTAAAATATGCTTTTTTTATTTAAAACATGTCTTTTTTACTTTACTTAAAAACACAAATAAAACAAAAAACATTGTTCTAAACAAAAAAAACAATGTTTTTTATTTAAAATAAAAAAAAAACAAGTTTTTTGCTAACCCTGATTTTTATTCTTTCTTTAAATCCCTTTTTATTCTTTTTTATTTTTTTTAATATACTATTGCTTTTTTTTAAATTATTTATTATCATTTATGACCTCTCTTTTAATTTTTTAACTTTTTTCAGGTGAATTATGTCGTTCAAGAAGCGATTGTGGTAATAAAAGATATCTTCCGCAAATATCCTAATAAATATGAAAGCATAATTTCGACTCTATGCGAGAATCTGGACACACTTGACGAGCCTGAGGCGCGTGCTTCTATGATTTGGATCATTGGAGAATACGCGGAGCGCATCGATAATGCAGATGAACTGTTGGAGAGCTTCCTGGAGGGATTCCACGATGAGAACACGCAGGTGCAGCTTCAACTGCTCACGGCGATCGTGAAATTATTCCTCAAGAGACCGACAGATACGCAAGAGTTGGTTCAGCAAGTGCTCAGTCTGGCCACCCAGGATTCCGACAATCCCGATCTGCGAGATCGCGGTTTTATTTACTGGCGATTGTTAAGCACGGATCCGGCAGCAGCTAAGGAAGTGGTGCTCGCGGAAAAGCCTCTGATTTCGGAGGAAACGGATCTGCTGGAGCCGACGTTGTTGGATGAATTGATTTGCCATATCTCGAGCTTGGCGTCCGTGTATCACAAACCTCCCACGGCGTTCGTGGAGGGCAGAGCTGCAGGCGCTAGAAAGTCCTTACCTGCTAGAAGCAATTCGAACGAAGATTCCCGCACAAATGCACAGCAGCCTCACGCGCAGGTCATACCCGCCCAAGATTCCCTGATAGGCGATCTCCTCAGCATGGACATTGGTAGGTGAATGATAATCGGAAAGATTATTATTAAATTCGATAATTGAAAAATTAAAATAAGTAATAATATACAGGATGTTTCGATATAAAGTGTTACAAGATATTTTCTTCGAAATTTGATTATCGTACAAAAAAAATGTTTTTTTTAGACAAAATTTATAAGATTTTGAGAGAGAAAAATTGATAATTTTGAATTTTAGCTGAGATCATTTTTCAAGAACATATAAAGATAGATTTTTTTAACGACATCAATCCTAATTTGTTTATATAAATCGATTTCTCAATATTCGGCGTAAAAAATTATAAAAGTGGAATAGTCAAAAGTTGAATAGTTTATGAGATGTTTTATACTTTGACTTAATTTTACATAAATCATGAAATATCGGAAAGTACTTATTTTTCAATTATTTTATCTCAATCTTTTACAAACAAACTAATGAGAGGAATTAATTGGTATAAAGAAAATTGTTACATACAATGTTTTTAAAAAAAATGTAACTGCTCGTTGCAAATTTATATTTTTTCATAAAAACAATTTATTCTACTTTTATAACTTTTAACAATAAATATTGTGAGAAATCAATTTTTATTAAAAAATTGGATAGTTCCATTTAATTAAGTTTACCTTCGCATGTGATCTTAAAAAATAATTTTAATTAAAATTAAAGATTGTCAACTTTTTCTCTCTCAGAACCCTATAAACTTTATCTAAAATATTTTTTTTGTACGACAAAAAAAATTCAAATTTCGGAAAAACACTCTACAACACTTTAATTGTTATGTAACACGTTCATAAATTTAATATGTATAATTACATATTAAAATATCTTAATCGATTTTTTCTTAAAATAGTATGTCTATTTTTATGTTATTTTCTAAGTCACGGATAAAAAAATTATCCTATTGTCTATGTCCAATTATTCATTATTTTAGATCATCTATTTACATAGTAATGTTCAATGTTTCCTCTCTTTCAGGTGGACCTCAAGCGGCAATGGCCACACCGACGCCCGCGCCACAAGCGGCAGGATTAGGATTGGATCTTTTAGGTGGTGGTTTGGACGGAATTCTAAGCAATACCGATAACACAAGCGCAGCGCCAGTCGTTTCCCAGAGTACAACAGGTCTCCTTGGTGACATATTCGGCTTCAGCCAAGGTCCCGTGTCTTATATATCTCCTAAAGTTAACTGGCTGCCGGCCGAAAAAGGCAAAGGTTTCGACATTTGGGGCACTTTCACGAGAAAGTAATTAATATGAAATATATAATATATCAATTAACATACAGGGTGTTTCAGACCACCCGTACCACCCATTTAAAAACTAGAGAAGTGGTTATTTCAAAAAAGTAAAATCATTTTCTTTATAAATCGGGTGCGCTCTATCGAATGGTGATATTTTCAACTTCTGGTTTCGGCCGGAAATAGGCGATTCAGATCGGAAGTGCATTTTTCTAAATGGAACCCCCCCTTTTTTATTGCATATTCTTGTAGCTTACCTCGAGAGCTTTCCAAAACACTATAATAAAGTATTTTTTTAATAAAGTACTTTTCGATTTCTGAATTTTACGTAAAATACCTTGTAAAATATTCATTTTTCGATTATCTTACCTTAATACTTTTATGTACAAAATAATGAGAGAAATCAATTGGTGTAAAGAAAACATACAATTATTTTTAAGAAAAAATATGAAATAATGTTAATTGCAAATTACATATCCTTTCTTAGAAACAACTATGTGTTTTCTTTACATCAATTGATTCTCTCTCATTATTTTATCTTCATTATTATCTTCTCTCATTATTTTGTACATAAAAGTATTAAGGTAAGATAATCGAAAAATGAATATTTTATAAGATATTTTATGGTTTATGTAAAATTAAGAAATGATTTCCTCATAACTCGAAAAGTACTTCATGGAAAAATAATTTATTATAATGTTTTGGAAAGCTCTCGAGGTAAGCTACAAGAATATGCAATGAAAAATAGGGGGTTCCATTAAAAAAAATGCACTTCCGATCTGAATCGCCTATTTTCGGCCAGAACCAGAAGTTGAAAATATAACCATTCGATAGAGCACACCCGATTTATAAAGAAAATGTTTTTACTTTTTTGAAATAACCACTGCTCTAGTTTTTAAATGGGTGATACTGGTGGTCTGAAACACCTTGTAGATTAACATATCGCGTTTTCAATGAATAATTATACGTAAAATATCATATTAATTATACGTAAAATATATTAATATCGTAGGAACGGACAGATTAGCATGGATATGACTTTCACAAATAAGGCGATGCAACCCATGGGAGGATTCGCGATACAACTCAACAAAAATAGCTTTGGATTGTCGCCGGCGGCTCCGTTGCAAGTACCAGCTCCTCTGAATCCTGGAGCGAGTGTAGAGACGAACGTTATATTATCTACCGTGGGTGCAGTACAACGCATGGAGCCCTTGAATAATCTTCAAGTCGCTATTAAGAACAATATCGACGTTTTCTACTTTGCGTGTATCGTCCCGATGAACGTATACTTCGCAGAGGATGGTCAATTGGACAAGAGAGTATTTCTTTCAACTTGGAAAGATATACCTGCACAAAATGAGGTAACAATATCACTGACTTCTATCTAAATGCATTTATGCAAAGATATTTTGTAAAGTTTACAAAATTGATAATGAGGAAAAATTGTTAAGAAAAATACATATATTGCTTGCAGGTACAATATACGCTGAATGGAGTAATGTTGACCGCGGATCAAGTTGTGCAAAAAATGCAACAAAACAATGTCTTCACAATTGCCAAGAGAAATGTAGAAGGCCAGGATATGCTTTATCAGTCTCTCAAGTTGACAAATAATGTCTGGGTGTTGAATGAATTGAAGATTCAGCCAGGCAATCCTGATGTCACAGTAGGTTTAATACAGGATCTTCAATATTAATTTTTTTTAACACAGTCATCTCTTGGGAAATTTTTATAATCATTTAAAAAAATTTAATCAGATTATAATTATTTCATTCAAAGAGAGATATATTTTATCATCAGTGTAACTTTATTCTAAATTAGAGAATAATTTTTTAAGTAGCTATTAATTTTGAAAATAATCATAGGAAGATTATTACATGTATTTATAATTTCTCATAAATTCTGGTTTTTTCATAATTATTTCTCTAATTGCAGTTATCCCTGAAATCTCGGTCGGTGGAAGTTGCTCCTGGAGTATTTCAAGCATATAACGCAATCTTACATTCTTAAGTTTTCCTTTTTTTATCAATTAAAATATTGCCATAAAATGCGAATTATAAAAAATATTATATAGCACGCAAGCATGCGCAGCATTGTATTTATAGAAGCTATCTGTGTTATACATTCGCGTATCGTGCATAAGATTCGAATATCTTGAGATCTAGTATCATAGAAATCTCTCTCTCCCTCTGTTATATATTGTCGAATTTATTATAAAAATGATCACAGACATATATGAAAATAAAAATTTATAATTATATCTGTTTTTATTTATGCGTTTTTTTGTAAATTGCAGACATAATATTATTACACACACACACACACACATTCATGTGTATAGAATAAAATAAAATTTAGAAATCAATGTAAAAACTGTAGAATACATGTTTAAAGCATTATCTGTTTTGTAAAAATTAAGTTTCCTTTTCAAAATATTTTCAAAATAAATTTAATTAAAATTAAATCAAATATATGGTTTAACATCTCGATTTTAATTTTACTAATAAAATTCTTGCAAGATATTAATCGCATTTAATTTATCATTCATAAATTCACAATATATGAAGATTTGGTTCCAAATTAAAAAAATATATCTTTAATACAGATTTTTTGCATGCAATGCAATATATTTTATATAATATACAAGTAGAACATGTTCAATAAAAGAATGTTATAATGTGATTGTATTTATTTATCGAATATAAAGAGAAGCATTAAATACATCACGTAAAATATCTTGAGATCTAGTATCATAGAAATCTCTCTCTCTCTCTGTTATATATTGTCGAATTTATTATAAAAATGATCACAGACATATATGAAAATAAAAATTTATAATTATATCTGTTTTTATTTATGCGTTTTTTTATAAATTACAGACAATATTATTACACACACACACATATATATATATATTCATGTGTATAAAAATAAAACTTAGAAATCAATGTAAAAACTGTAGAATATATATTTAAAGCGAAATCTGTTTTGTAAAAATTAAGTTTCCTTTTCAAAATAAATTTAATTAAAATTAAATCAAATATATGGTTTAACAGCTCGATTTTAATTTTACTAATAAAACTTCTTGCAAAATATTAATCGCAATTAATTTATCATTCATAAATTCACAATATATGAAGATTTGGTTCTAAATTAAAAAAAAATATCTTTAATACAGATTTTTCGCATGCAATGCAATATATTTTATATAATATACAAGTAGAACATGTTCAATAAAAGAATGTTATAATGTGATTGTATTTATTTATCGAATATAAAGAGAAGCATTAAATACATCACGTAAAATTAACATTGAACTTTTCTTCTAAAGGAACAGCCTTCCGTTAATCTTGCCTTCCCACCCGTTGGTGTGCAAAGTATCGTACGACATCCGTCACATTCTACTGGTCTCTGGGCATGGGAAAATATAGTTTTTATGGCGTAACAGCCCGGGCATTTGACATCCATGAAGTAACTGTTAGGCTTCTGCACAAGCCTCTTCAGCTTATGTTTCCTCTTTTCCTCAATGGGACTGGGATGCAAAAAATCTCTGGCCAATGGCATTCTGCAAAACAGAATCAGTTGCTGAAAACTCGCTAAAAATATATTCAGTTTGTTCTGTCAAACAACGAACATATCTTTTCACACATGTTTATATTATTTGAATAATTTTTTTTCTCTTAAGAGCAACAGATATATACATAACATTGTGCAATCTTGTCTAACAAGTGACATTAGACACCATGTGAGAAAAGAAAAAAAAACTCGAGGAAGAGTGCAAATTTTGACTTTTAATCGATAAGTTGACAGTTCAACGCTGACGTAAATACGATGGAATGAAAGTGAGAAGCGATTTGATTTTTTCGTTGCTGTAATATTTTTCTCATTTATGTGGCAATGGGCGACAAAACGGCCGAAATGCCGCTACGATATGTACATCGAATAAATTATCCACGAGCTGATCGATTCTGTCGCTTTACGAATAAATGAGACGCGTGTGACAGCGAATAAAACAATATGCATACTTGCGTGATTTACTGCGTATTTCGTCTCAATTTCAATAATTACAACCGTAACCACGTGTTTAGTACAACGTTATGAACTGGAAAGGAACATCCTCGGACTCGATGCGAAACATTTTAATCCCTAAAATCCCTCAATATTGCCAACAGTTTCTCGACGACACCAAGCCTAGTTTACATCGACCGCATCGATTGATCAGAGAGAGGACTGAGAGATGTCATGGCCTGCTTTTAAGTGATCCCTGAAAGATACTCCCTCTATGGACATTGAAAACGTGGAGATGAACTGTAAAGCCAATGTCCATGAATGTTCTCAGAGGATATCATGTGCACAATTTCTGGTTTCGTTCCGTGCTATGTGCACGAAATGTCGGTAACACCAGAGTATAACAAGACACTCATGTATATGAATTGATAGTAAATAAATTATGCAATCGTGAAAGATACTGTAATCTTCTAATGTAATGTTCAAAGATGAAAAAAATATTTTTCTATATTCATTGCCATGTTTATATATTTTTATTTACAAAACACGAAATGCCTGCTGTGGAATAAAAACATTTTTAACCGTTATTTCTATAAATCTTAATTAGCAATAAACTGATCTTTGATATTTATTAATCACTTTTTTAATTATTTAAAAAAGTTATTATATTATTAATTATTTACTTATTTATTTATTACTTATTTAATTATTAATACATGTATAGAATTTGTCAAATTAATCACTGATTGTTCTAAAGTTTTTATAATTAAGATTCGAAAAATATAGTTGCAAAATATTTTAAATATCTCTTTCTTTATAAAATATAAAGAATTCATATGTTCCATTCTAATATAGTCAACATTATTTATATACTTTTATTATAATTTTCTTACCAGCATAATATTTTTATGCTTAATATTTTATATAATACAATGTACTAAATTATAAAATTTAATATAATTACAAAATAGTATTACTATTAATAAATAGCAAAATAAATTAAAATATTGATAGGCCATAAGGAGCCAAACGCGGATGTAAGGCGTGTTCTTTTTAAATCATTATCCAAGAGAACGATCAAATTAAACGGTCATCTTTAATACCAAACGTTTCGGACTCAATTCGAGCCTTCTTCAGTGATTCTGAACAAAACAAAAAAGAACCACATGAGATATATACATTAAAACGCAGTCAATCATAATAAAATACGGAAAAAACATAGTCATCATACGTGCATGATCGTTGAGAGAAAACGCGAGCTCATCAAGGCAAGTCAACTCGAAGGAAGCCAGACATACATGGTTCTTTAAACGGTGCAAGGCGCAAAAAGCAATGCACTAAACAAATAAATATAATATGAAAACGTCGTAAAAAAATAGTCAAAAATATGCAACTATAGCTCACTCGGTATCGAGAAGACGTGACAAAGACGAACACGAACACTTTGCGCGCACATAGCCGATTAGACAACAGATTTAACTGCCAACGGTGAAAAGGCAGTTACGCGTAATCAATAATAACAATACCGCATGTACAGAGGACGAAAGCAATCAACGTACAACAATCGCAATCAAATCTTCGATATATTATCGATTATCGATAGACAAGAAGCATTCAGCTTTAAGGTGTCGTTCTGGAGATTTAATGCATTTCTTTGACGTTTAATATGGATCATCTCCGATATCAATCTCCTCCCTTTAATTTGATCGTTCTCTTGGATAATGATTTAAAAAGAACACGCCTTACATCCGCGTTTGGCTCCTTATGGCCTATCAATATTTTAATTTATTTTGTTAATTTCGAGAGCCTTTAATTTTGTTTATATTTTTTATTTTTATTAATAAATAGGTTGTATTCATACTGTCTTTTAATTTCTAATCATTTCCAATCATTATGCATTTCTATTATCTATTTCTATTATCTATTATTTTCTTCTTCAAGTTCTTGGATTATTATGGTTTATTGTATATTCCTTGGTGTTAAAATCATAGGGATTATCATCATTTGTCATGCTTCTTCCTTTCTATGGAGTCCATCGAAATATTTTCTATGGACATTTGTTCTCTCGAGTATAGATATTCAAATCACTCAGAGAGAGAGAAAGAGAGAAAGAGGAAGAGAAAGGATTTGAGATATTCAAATCACTGTAGTTGTTTTTTTTCTATTTTCTCAATTACTGTCTCTTTTTCTTTTATTTTATTCAAAAATATTAATATAATTAAAAATAACATATATATAATTTTGATATTTTTCTTAGTCTGACTCTTTCCCTTCGACTTGTCCGGCATAGATAACCCTATCTAAGGCCGGCATTCATAATTCATTCTTATATTTAAGATCGTCTTAAGTAAGTTGGAAAATACAACTATTTTTACTAACTGATCGGAATCTCAAGACGCGATCTAAGATCATACTTAAGATTATTTTAAATATAAAAATAGTCTACATATATGAATATCGCGTATTATACGTTACTGCCGGCATAGCTCTTAGATTCATTAGAGTACTCAAACCTCATCCGGCAAATGCCTCTGTAAGGTGGAGATACGAGGAAACAATTTTTTTTTATTTTCTTTCAATACAGGGTTTAATACAAAAGTGAATGTAAAATATAATTTGAAACTTAATACAAAATAATTTTTATTTATTACATGGAATAATTTAATACACGAAAATGTCTCTAAAATATACATATAATATAAAATTTACTAAATATTTTTATATAGTCCAGACAAGCCCGATTAGCGATGATTAATTATGCAACATTTATCATTGATAATCGATATGCGATAATAGAATTTAATAAGTTTTATGTAACGTAAATATATATAGTCGTGATTAAAAGAATTATTAATAAAATTATTGATCATTTCTTCGATTGTAGAAGAAAATATTTGCATTATTAGCGCATTTTGTGTAGATTATCAAAGGAAATATTCAAAATACGAAAAAATAAAATAAGCTTCAATGTAAATCAACAATTAAATTACACAATAAATCGCGATTTAAAATTCGCGAGAAAACGCGAATAAATAAATCGATAATAATAGGAATATTCGATTACGAGAAATATACGTATAATTTTTATAATATGATAATCAAAACTATCAATAGATACGCGCGCGACATAATTATTATCACACAAATGATAATACACGAAGATATTTTGATAAACATTTGTGGTCCGCATTGTTTATGAACAATTATTACTTTAATGATATTTATAGAATAAAATATAATTCCCGCGACTCTTTATCTCGTTTTATTTTTCAATTATTTAAAATTTAATTATTTAATTTAGAATCAAAACGCACAACAAAACAATCGAATTATAAATCGAAATAATTAACATAATAAAAAGCTTTGCGATACAAAGAAATTAACAAATATTATTTAATTAATCCATGTAATCTAAAACTTTTAGACACTTTAACATTTCGTGTATATGTTAAAGTACGTAAAATATATCAGCAGTGAATGGATAATAACACGATCGGTCTTGGCGGCGTATGACGCGCTGTGTTTACATGTACGGTCTTGATATCATTCACACGGCAACATTCGAAGAGTAAGGTGCGAAATACTTCGTATATTATTAAATTTTTTCTCGATAAAACACTTTTCTAACGATAAAACACAATTATGACTAGTATTAAAACATAATTCGCTATGATAATTATAATTAGTACTTGCTAAACTTTTAATTGTAATTACTACGCGATCGGGAATGCCGTGCAAAATGTCTCGTGATTTTTGCGTATACTAATATTAATTAACTAATCTTAATTAATCTTGTTTTCAGGAATGAAAGTGAGTGCAACGAAAAAATAGCGAAGGAAAGGAAAAGCAAGTCTAAAAAGCACTGGGCCACGTACTAAGCAACATTATCCAGTAAATAGTTTATAAATTATTTATCATTTTATCATTTATATTCAGATTATATATATATATATATATATATATATATATATATATGCCATTTATATTCAGATCATATTATATATTGCATGTTTTCTCAATAACGATTCTTTCTCTGTCCTTCTCCCTCTCTCTCTCCCCCCCCTCTCTCATTGTAAATTATCTAAATTATTTAAGTTTTTAAATTATATTAGTATAACATATATCTAAAATATTCTGGATTATCTTATTTTAATATACTTAAAATATCTATAATAAAATATTCTTATATTATTTAACACTTTTACATAGATAGTAGTATTTCATAAACTGCTTCACAATAATATATTTAAATATTTTATGCATAAAAGATTCCATAATAAATAAATTGTTTAATAAATAATCAATTTTAATCAATCAATTAAAACACTTCTATAATTCAATATTCTATGCGTGTGTATTTTATAGAACATAAAATATTTCGACAACGAATTATCAATAAAATCATGACTTTGGCAAGAGTGCGTTGTTTATATATTACAGTTTTGCTATCATTTGCTCGGTGATATTCAAGCAATAAATAATGATACGAAATGTTTCGTATATTAATTAATTGTTTAAATAATAAATAATCATTTAATTAATCTATAAATATAAAAACTTCTACAATTTAATATTTTGCGTTACAATCAAACAACTAAACTTCCAATTTTTCTAAAATGTGAACATAAATTAATTATTAATTAAATGACTGCTATCACAACTTTATTTATTATTTTAATATTTTCATTCTTATAATTCGTATATTATACAGCATATAATATGCGTATCAATAGCATACGCATTGCTGTAACAAGTAGCGAATGAAATTTTAATCTCGTGTAAAGGTAAATCTCATGTTGCTCTTTTATCATTTAAGTGCGTATATAAGTATGATTATTTTGTATGATTATTGAGAGTTTCGTAAAGTGCGCCACGTATTTGATTAATTATAATTAAATCGTGTTTTCGTGAGTGAGTGAATGCCACAAAAAGAAATAACGAAAGATACGTAAGAGAAGAAAGGAAGTTTGGAACATACGGAGTAAAATGAAGTAACATGAAGTAAAACAATCGAATAATATATGCAAATAATTAGCATAACGAAAGGCCCGTGACAAATTGTTTAATAAATAATCAATTTTAATCCATAACTTAGAATGCTTCTATAATTTAATATTTCACGATAATGTACAATATATTTTATAATATATAAAATATTTTGGTAACGAATTATCGATAACACGATGTTCGATTTTGGCAAT